AGGGACCACTGTTTAATTCTCTATTATGGTTATGTCTTAAGACATGTATTAAGACATGTACCCATACATTTTGACTAAGATGTACTTTGTCTGAGAATTGTGATGATTCGGTAAGCTGGCCTGCAAGTATGATCTCCTCTTTAAACTCCAGTTGGCTTCCTTTTGTGTCAACCTCCATTTCTTCTGAATTTGAAAGTTGATTTGTCATCTGACTGCAAGCCCCCAACATATCCTCTCCTCCCAGAACATCTTTTGAATTCCAGAGAACAGCTGGGAGAACATCTGGGTGAGTCTGGCACCATGGAAAGCACTTACTCTGGTTCTGAGCACCAATAGTTGGTCCCCCCCTTCTGCCTGGCCTGGATCTTTCCAGGTTCAGTCTGTCGAGCAGTGCAGATTCTCACTTGGATTGGAAGATTAAACTAATTGCTTAATTGGGAACCTGGGCTTTTTTTAATATTCTTCGCATTTACTCAAGCGTATGGTAAACATGCATTGAAAGATGAATATTATACATGATAATTTTATACATACATTTTTCTATCTCAAGAATAATCAGTTATTAATTATTCTAAAAACTAACGACCTTATTTGCAGACAAAACTAATACTAAATCTTCTATATTACATGGAAAAAGTAGATTTTTACAGCTCATTTTGTATTGTTGTTGTAGTGGAGCGCAGGTTTGTTGGCTCTTTTGAAGTCATTGATATGTCTGCCCTTGTTGTGTGCTCAACCCTGTATGTGCACTGGTCATCATTAATGTATAGAGGTAATCCAGTCGTGGGCATGTTACCGCAAGACAAGTTCAAAACAAAACCTTGCTCATGATAACACAAAGTATTGACTCAACACCATCACACATTTACAAACTGAGGTAGAGGACAAATCACGTAGCATTTGCAGGAAGTGTTTGGAGATGCCATGTGTCCCTTGCTGCAGGTCCATTCGAGGACCAGGGCGCGAGAGGTGAAAGCGCGTACGTTGCGTGTCCAGGGGCTTCAACAGCAGAACAATGGCGAGTGTGCACGGCAGGCTATAGCTGTGCGGCGGATTAAATTAGCAGCAGTTGTTTATCGGCTGTGCCCCCTCCCTCCCTTCCTTCACCAGCTCCACTACAACCACCCCCGGTCCATCTGCTACACCCCACACACAAACAAGCGCGCACACACGAACAAATCCTCTCCTCCGCCGCGTCAACACAACACACAAACACGGTTCAGTACTCTATCTAGCCCAACCATGACACACAAGACTCTGCTCAACCTCTTCTGCCAAGCGGGCTTCCCCTCTATGCAGATTAGCCATGTGCTAATTGTATTTATATATTTATTTACTGTACTCGCAGGAGAGCCTGGAAACGGAGATGGGAGGAGTTTGAAATTGATTGAATGACTAGGCACAAAACAAGAGACCGCTTGGTGTGCACGTTTTAGAATGTACCTGTTTAACTTTTCATCACAGCGGCACACACTACGTTAAAATAGTAAGAAATGTCAATTGTTGACAGTTGGGTTTTAGCTTGTTGTAGGGCATTTTGACTTGTCACAAATAGCAAGTCGCACAAGATGCAAGTCCCACACAAACATTTTAGAGTAACTACTTTGTCGTCTGTGTATGAATGGGCCATACAAAATAAGTAGTTAAAATAGCAAAAGTATGACATATCTTTCATGTTCTGAAATGTTTAGGCTCTTCTGAGTACATTTCTTCAGATTTATTTTTTATATTTCAACAATGTAGTTTCACTTAACATATCGCAACTCTAATTGTGATAGCGATTGTTTTGAAAATAAATGCAAAGAGGTTTTGGCAAAATCGTGGAGCCTAAACTATGACTAATTTTCAGAATTTTCTCTCTGCCCTGAAATAAATAGTATATTGCAATATCTTTGTTGCAAATTGCACAATACAGTGCACTGTTTTATGGTGCCCTGAACTGAATGGAAAATGTTTTGGTTTGTTTTTTACATAACCAGTTGACCTATTCAATACTATAGTAATGATTTTTATGGGTGGATTTACTCTGAATTATAATAACAATGGACATGAAAGAACCTACACACCATTTCACAAACGGCAGAATAAGCCTCACAAATCTCATTTGGGTTGCCAGTTGCAAAGGTGAAATTCATCTTTAATCTTAACAACCTAAATGCTTGCAGATAATTCTTAGTCTTTGTTGAGCAGCAGTAACCTGCATTTGTTAATCTGGAAAAACAGGTTATGTTGTATTTGTACTTTTTAAATAATAGTGCACTGCTTGTTACTAGTACTATTTACTATCCATTTCAAAATGTTTTGTTTTTTCCGTTATTAGCCTGAGTAGTTTTTTTTTTTGTTCAATATATTTTGTTGCACTTCAAATTGTGGTGGTTTGTCCTGCCTTTTTCACTGTTAACATTTCATAGCAATTCTGGATACAAATTTACTTTTTTGGACATTTTCATCAGATATCCCACTTTGTTTTGGATGTTGACTGCTGCAGAAATATATTATGATAATTAAACAAGAGTAAAATGATATGTCATACATTACGTCGGGAAATGACATAATTCAGACAGTCTGTGATAGATCTGTGCACTTGATTGAACTTGTAGCTGTAAGAATGTGCAAAAATGGGACAGTTGTACACAAGGTCTTCAGCTGAGCAGCAAAGAGTGCAGTCTTTTCCTTGACAAAGATATATCTGCTCGAGTAGCCGTTGACCTTCAAATGTCAATACAAAAGTGCTGGATTTTGCATGACGCGTAACAGTCTGACATGGCAACTTCAACAATACAAGGACGATTCTCTTGAAATTGATGCGAGTTTCTGGAGGCTTGCATTTGTTTTGTCTGTTTTTGCTTATATGTGCTTCATAATCATTCATCATTTTAATGGACTGTTTGAAACTGAAGTAGCGTTATGCATGCACACTGTTTTTGTTTTCACTTTGGCCTGTGCACATGGAATCATAGCGGTGGCCATGTTAACTTAAGGCGTTGGAAAGCAGAAGAGTGGACTGTGTGGATCTATTATTGGCTGAAGGAAAAAACCCCTTGACAAGCTTCCTGGTTGGCTCTCTCATGGACACTTTTTTATTTTCCCTTCTGGTGGTGGGGTAAACTTACTCAAATCACCTGGATGTAGAGAGAGGCAGGACTTTCCCATTCACTCTTACTGCTTCGATGCGTAAATGAGCTCGCACAAGTTTCTAGCTTTTGATAAATGTTTGCTAGTGTTTCATAATTGTACGTTATTCTCTCGTCAATCATCGCTGTCGACGGAAGCTGCAACAGTACATTTGTTGGTGGTAGGGATGAATACAGGCTCCTTCAGCGTAGTGCTGAGCTTGAATGTGAAGGCCACCGCCCTGAATAACTGAACTAGCTGCTTTGCATAGATGTCAGAATGCTGTAACTGTATTCTGGTGCAGTTATTTTACTGTTTGTGGCATACAGTTACTTAAGTCATCAAATACCACTATTTGATCATACAATTTGGGCTTCAGTCAAACCACATGATATGCAAATATAGCTTCCCTCTTACTGGTGCATGTATGTGTGTTTACTCTTTTCTATTACTCAAATGTCTGACAAGTATTTACACATTTACTTCATTATTGTACACATTACATGCAGTGAAATTCTTGTGCCACAGTAGGAAAACGCAGCATTTATATGAAAGTTAGTACTATAATGGAAAAATATACAATATTTTGTTTTTCTTGACACACTCAATGCATTTGTCCCATTACTGACTTATGAAGTTACATGAAACATTTATAATAATGGTTCCTCTAAATATGCTTGTTTTGAAGTTGCAGTGTGATGCTTTATATGAACAATCATGTATTGTGAAATCTGTTATTTTAATATATTTTCCATGTTGTGATCTCATGTGACCCAGCCATATTTGACCATGTACCTTTTGGGAATGAATTGGATTATGAAACATTCAATTGTGTTTGCTTTGTAATGTCACTTAATACCCATTCACAATTTTATTTTGACTTTATTTATTGTGGAGTCATACTTTGTTTTGATTGAAAATCATTATCATAAGTTTTGGGGCTCAAAAGCACCTTTTTAAGGATGAGAAAAGGAAACGTGAGGACTGTCTAAGCGCCTCATTAGTAGCCCGCTATAGCTCAATTCTGTCCTGCTCAGCTGCTCTAAATGAGCATCCCCGTGTTGCTCTGCTTTACTGTGCATCGGAGACTATTTGCAAGTTTGTGCTGTAATTGGACAGAAATGTGTTTATTTTCATCAGTTTTACGCTGCCTCAAAAGCTGGGTCATAGAATTAGCCACTGTTTATCATCATTGTAGGAGTCCTATTTGAAAAAAAGGTCACATTTTTAATCAATAGTGTAATTCACTTTTGACATTGGTCTCTCCCTATGGACCAATTCATATGTGTATATTTTGTGTCTTAACTGTTGATTTTCTGATCTGTGTTGGCAATGGTTTTGTTAAGTCCTCTGATATGACTTGTGTTTTGATTTAGGGCTATACAAGATTAAGTTGTTGTTGTTCACTTTAGTCTTGAGTCTCCATTGTAGAGCGGACTATTAACTTGATCGATTACTAAAATTGCTCTTTCTGGCCTCCAACGCATGTAAGTGCTGTGAATTGTGATTTTAATACTCAAAACGGAGCACAAATTGTTAACCATAAAATAAGCATGTTAAATCTCTGGAAGGTCTAGTCTGGAAACATCTATTAGAATGTTCCCCGTGGCTTCACTTCAAACTTTTCCACGTCAAATTTGAGTTAAAAATCATACACTCAGGTTCTAAACAACAAATTGATTAATAATGGTTAGATTCATTATTAGTTGCAGCCTTTTCCACTGACTTCAAACGTTCATGCTTGCCGCCTTGGTGTTAATACTCCTGACATAATTCCTTTTGCATTTTTCAGCCTTATGACCATTATTTTGACTGTTGAGAGACGACACAAGTGTGTTGTGCAGAATCATCCATCACCAATGCTTCCAATGAATCCACGTAGTGCTTCAACATCCCAACCTGATGCGGCTGTGTGTTTTCTGATAAGCTGGTGGGGGGGGCAGGAAGCGTGTGGTGGCATTGTTGTGTCTGCTGGCCCACAGAAAGAGGTTAAAAGTGCACAGGAGGTCACCAGAGAGACGTCTACCGGGCCCACTTACGTCTTTCCCCTGCGGCCCGCTCGGTAATGACCCCGGGGAGCGTAGTAGCACCCCCCCACATCCTCCCACGCACCTCCTCCTCCACACAAATACATAACAGCGTTACGCACACACCTACTGTCCTGAACATGAGGAGCCATGGCCTGAGGGAGGCTAGAGGGAAAACATGGAGCGGAATTTGTTATCTGAGCTAATGGATTTATTTTGACCAGTCTGGCCAGCATCTTTTGCCAAGCAGCATGAATTGACTGACTAGCTTTGCAATCACACAAATGGCTCAATCTTTAATATTCTGTGAGATATGTCTCTTTTGGTTGTATTTACACTCTTGTAAAATATCTGGCTCTTGTTTCACTAGAAATGGCAACGTTAAAGTGATTTATAAAATTAACTTGTCTATTATCTTCAGTTTGACCCATAATTTTAATCATACATTTCACTGTAAGTGGACAGTTTGGATAGTGTTCAGTTTCTTAATGTTGGCATTTGTTCATTTCTTCTGTGAACTAATTTGTTCGGTAATTAAACGCCAAGTAACTCACGGTGAGCCATCCAATTGAGTTTAATACCTTCCGAAACAACTTTGTCACTTGTCATATAAAGTCTTTTGAAACCTGAAAATCTTTGGATGCTTGAAGGCCGACCTATCATGCTGTTAACCCCCCCCCCCACAAGTCCACATGACCCCCTTGTCTACTCCAGTGCTGTCATTCAGACAGTGCCAAACCCTGCTGCTTTATTAAAGCCCAGGAAGAGCAGGGCCTGGCGCGGGTTCAAACAGCACTGCAGCTGGGACCTGTTACATTTTCGGCACACTGCCCTCTCGCTTTGCTATAAATAGCTCCATCCGTGGTTGTCTCCCTTAACCAAGGAAAGAGGTTTTGAGAGAGGAAAAAAGCACACACACAGATTAATAACCGTGGGAAGCAATGAAAGCTTTGTGTCTACTGCCCGAGGTCAACAGGCTGGAGGTGTTGTACTTCAAAGCCCGAGCTGTGGCCTGTGTTTTCAGATATGACGGCGCTGTTTGATAATGATGCCACACAAAGATAAGACTCGTTGACAGAAGGAATTTTGACACAGTTTGTTCCAGCTGCAAACTTCAGCACACACTTGCAACGTGAGCCTGAAATATAGAAAAAGAATGTGTTAATATTTTTCCTTCAGTGAGGAAGTATCACTTTTAAAGCAAAGCACTGCTGTATGTTCTAGTTTCTAGTGTGTTTGTAAAGCGCTTTATAAGATTACATAGTTACTTACTAGGAGTTTAGCATCAGATTCAGTATGGGACCCAAAGATATGAATGTCCAAGACCTTCTGATTGTGTTTGTTCATTAAAGGTGGGCTGTCTTTCCACCAACAGGAGAATATAAACTATAATAGACCTGATAACATGCAGTGAGCTAGCACCTGTCTTCGTTCACCAAAATACAACTTATATTGTGTGTGCCATGCCTCCATAGTATTGTAATTGTTACATGCTACATTTGTACTATCATATCAAGTCTTACCTTCTTAGATTGCTACATTTTTGAAAATGTCTCAAAGTTGCTTGTTGCTTTAGTGCAGTATTTTAATGTCATTTTCACAAGTTTTTGTACTGTATTTTAGTTTGTATGATTTTGTTTGGTGCAAAAACATATTTTGTCTTTGCTCAATCCACATGCATGTATGGATTTCAAAGATATTTTCCCTTTATTCAGTACTTTCTGCTGTTGCTGCCAGTTCACCATATTCACTCCCGTCTTTCACAATACTTCCTTCCTCCTCTCCATCCATGGCCGTAAAGGGACTGTTTCACCACGTGGAACGATGGAGAACCCTGCTGGCCAAGGTCGGCCCCCAGCGCTCCACCCGGGGACTCCGTCCTGACGTATTCTCAGCTGAGGGGTGGGCTCGGGTCCAGATACCGCAGACACTTCCACTTCCTTAAGCTTATTTTCATAGAAAGCCTTTGCCGTAACAGTATCCACCCACTGGCACATGATCTCCTGGGCAGGGAAATGGCTCCTGGCGGATAAAGTGGGCCTGTTCATTCATTCATAGCCAATTTTTTCCCTTTTTCTAGTAAGGAAAGTAAAACCACTACTGTTTTCTCACTCCCTCGTAGTTGAGATTCTTTGCACTTCCTAAGATGTTTACTCAATGATGCCTTCAACATCAAAAAAAATCACACGATGAATGAGGCACATTTGTAGAAAACAATTTTTCATTTATGCTACTAAAAATCCTCATTTATGACCTTCCAAAAGGGCAAATTATTAAACTTTGTTTCTATTTTCATTCGAGTCACGAGATAAGATTATTATTACTAATCTTCATCTTTTTTATTTTTTATTCTTCCAGCCTTCAAGCCCCATGGACCAGGTAGGGAAGATGAGGAATCAGCCGTACGTGGGGCCAAACCCATACACTCAGCCGCAACAGGGGCCGCCCAGTGCGCCCGGTCCCCAACAGGGGGGCTCTTTTCCTGGGCAAACTTATGGAGGACCCCCAGGTCCACAGAGATACCCCATGGGTATGCAGAATAGAAGTATGCCATATGGACAACAGGTCAGTTCACTTAAAACTCATGGAATTATAATCAGAATTCTTTCATATGTACTGAAACAAATATTGTATATTTGCAGTGCCTTGAAAAAAAATCATACCCCCATTAACTTCCACTTTTCTCATTTCTATTGGTATTTTATAAGACCAACACAAAATGACAATTGTGACGTGAAAGCCAAATTATACATGACTTTGATACATGACTATGGCCCAGTCATAGGCCATTCTAACACATGGACGTGTTTTGATTTAAACCATTTCATTGTATGAAAAGGTTTTATGTTGAGGGAAATCATTCTGATGGAAGGAAAACCCCCACCCTTTTGCAGAATCCCAACAGATTTATTTCTAGATTGTCCTGTATTTTGCTCCATTCACCTTACCAAGAAAAGAAGCCCCATGTTATGATTCTGCCACCTGCAGGTTTGAGAGTGGGGATAGTGTGAGTAGCGTGATGAACAGTGTTCATTCTTTCCATTCCCGGATGATGGATTATGCCATTCTGTGCTTGGGTCTTTGTTTAACATAAAACATAACCATATTTTAAACTTCTCCCCAACTTCATTCATGGTCTCGGGGGGTGTCCTTGGACTTCATGATGCTGTTATGTGACCAATATTCTATTATCTCACAGATGAGCAGTAATCACTTGCACTTGGATTATTGAAAGCCACACAATTCACTATTTGTGTCATAATTAGAACTGTCAATAAATATTCAAATTTCAAATACATATTTGAACACTTGGAAGTCCAAAGGTGAAAGTTAAAATGCAAAGGTGGGAAAACATGCCCGCGGTAGCAGAGTGGGCACAGGGGAGTGGCTGCTGCTCCTGCCCCTGTGGGCATGTGCTGCTGATCTCGTCAAGACAATGGGATATTTTCTAGTTATTTTTGGCTGTAGTTTTACGGTATGAAAATTTAACCTCACTGTTGTTATGACCAAAATGATCATGGTTTTTGGTATTACTGCAGTATATAATTTTCTTTTCAGTTCACTGAATATTTTCAGAAAACTCAGCAAGAAGGTCCTGGGTTCGAATCCTGGTCGGAACAGTGCCTTTCTGAGTGGAGTTTGCATGTTCTCCCTGTGTCTGCGTAGGTTTCCTCCGGGTTCTCCGGTTTCCCTTACCACTAAAAACATGTGCAATAGGTCTGGCATGCGCCTCCTGTACTGAGTGAGACAAATGTCCAAAAATTTCAATTGTAAACCGCTTTGTGACTCTGGTCTGAGAAAGGCGGTATATGAATAAAGATTACTTACTTACATTGATGGCCCTACACAAAGTTTCAAATTAGTGCACTAATTTTAGCTGCAAGTAACATTTTGTTGATAACATCCAGTTAATTATAATACACGTAGTGAATGTCAACTAAAATCACATGATATAAAACAAAGTGAGTGCTATTGTTGTGTCTTCAACTAGCGCTCAATAATGCAGTGTCTTCATTTCACTGTCTCATCTATTAGTTTACCTTTTTTAGCTTAGCATATTAGTTGCTAACAGGGAGCTAGATGAATTTTTTTATTTGCTGGCAGTGGGCGGCTGCACTTTTAAGTCCACATTATTGACAATCAGACAAATTCTGCATTCTCCCTCACACTTCAGACTTTGTCATCTCAACCCGAGAGCTGTTGTCTCCTTCTTCGGTCATGATTCCGGTATGAGGTTGTATACAGTGTGCGCCTGTGCGGCAACTCAGACTCCGGGAAGGCTCTCAGTGCCACCCCTAGTGAGCTTTTGAAAAGGTGTATGGTGTGCTGCAACAGACGCACAAGTGAAGTCAACCCCTTCAGTAGCCGCTTCATAGGGTCCCAAAAGATGTCTGTGCTGAGCCCAACTGGGAGCAGATAAAGTGATTTTAACCTGAAAAACATCTAAAAAGGTCTAGGTCTAGGTCAAACAGAATATTCAAATGAATAGAAATGTTTTTTAGAGGAAATAATGAGTAGTCACTTTTTTACAATGTTGACAGCCTAGTTGTCACGAGATAAACTCTGAAGTTCATGGGGTATGAATATTTTTTTCAATGCAATACAATATCGAGTCTGCAAATGTTTTGTGTGTGCTACTGGTGGTGTTCAACATCTACAAAACTTAGATTTCCATCAGTAATCACTTAATAGTATAGTGAAGTGCTCTATAAGGTTGTTCTTTTAAATTATGACATAAAGTTGGATTCTGCATTATCAGATCAGTAATGTGAAGATAATCTCTATTGACTGAACACCTCTCCCCTTGTGATTTTTCCCATTAAACCCAAAGAGAGGCTAATGGCCACATGTACTCTGGTTCGCCACCACTGTGCTACTGGAAATGTTTTTTAAATATAAATTTTCTATAAACGGCAAGCTGCCATTGTGCTTTTGCCACATGTACTTATTCACATCAGAGTGAGGCCCTACTTGAACTCCCAGCAGTGCCCACATGGAGAATCCCGTTGTGAGAAGGCTTTTTCTTGCTCGACCATTGTGTAGTGTGATTATCTCATTGAGGCCTGTCTAGTGTCTGACCATGGACTCAGAGTAGCACGCGGCGAAGAAAACAACTCTACTAGTCTTTGTTCTGCACAGACAATACAGCTACTTGTTTTAAATGATAATCCTATCTTCTTTCTCTCCTTCTGTAGCCTTTAATGCTTCCCTCAGCAACATGTGGCTTTTTCTGTTTTTTTATTATATATTCCAGTTTTTCCTCACAAGGTCAGCGCTTTCTCCTTGTGCACTCCTTGAGGGTAATGAAACGAAAACGCTGTATTGAAAGGAGCTCACACTGTCGGGTTGAATATGAAAAGGCTCATATTGAAGTTCAAGGAGATGAAGCTGAAACTCAATTTTTATTTTCACGGCTGTAATTTAAAGTGATGCGTGGCTGAATTTCAACACTTGGAGGTTTTTTTTCTTATGCACTCTTGAGTGATCAGTTTACTGTGAGATACACACTCCACTCTGCTGCAGTGTGAGAAGAACACTTGCCTCTCTTGTCGGAAGATGGAGAGATGCTTTGATTACTTAAGGACGCAAGTTATTTTTATAGGCTTCCGTCAGTGTTTAGTTTGTTTGTGGGAGTTCTCAGATCAATTTCAGAATAGTGGAAACGTTGGGTAACCCTTATATTGATTTTACTGCGAATTCTCTATATAAATACAGTATTTGTACGCTGCACGCATCAGTTTGGCCATTTCATTTGTCTTTACAAGTTGTGTTTGATTATCCTTGTATTCTTGTCTAGATGCCATATGGACAACAAGGCCCAGGTGGTTATGGTCATCAGAACCAAGGCTACTACGGTCAGCATGGGCCTGCTCACTCCGGGGCTCAGCAGCCATACCCTGGTCAAACACAGGGGAGCTCGGGTCCTCCCTATGGCCAGCAAGGACATCCATCCCAGCCTCCTGCTCAGCATGGCCAGTCTGCAGCACCATACCCACAGTCACAAGGCCCCCACGGCCCGGGAGCGGGTCAGCCCCCCTACAGCCAACCACCACAGTCCCAGCCAGGTCAGCCTCCCTATACCCCTTCACAGCAGTCGCAGCAGCAGCAGCAGCAGTCCCAACCACCGCAGCAGGGTCCTGGGACCCCGAGCCAGCAGGCTTCTCAGTCTCAGCCTGGATACACACAAGGTCCTGGGACGGGGCAGCCACCTCAACAGCCAACGCCTCAGCAGCAGCAACCGCCGCAGCAAGGACCGCCACAGGCACAGGCGCAGGGAGCACCTCCACCTCAGGCTCAGCAGCCTCCCAACCACGGGCAGCAGGGTCAGCCATCCCCATACTCCCAAACACCGCCTCTACCACAACAGGGGTCGCAGCAGTCTCAACAGCAGTCTCCCTATCAGAGGTTTCCACCGCCAGCACAGGTACCACTACTCTTACTTTGCTTTTGACCGAACAACCACAGCCTTATATATGTTCTGTACAGTATGCTCACCTACTGTACAGAACATATACTTCACATGTTTATTATATTAAAGTATTGTTACTGCATTCAAATTGAGGTTGATCTGGAAAAATAAATATTAAGTTGACTTCAAATTCTCGTTGTTTAGGAACTGTCTCAAGATTCATTTAGCTCCCAGTCCAGTGCACCTCCTTCCAATCAGCCCATCGCTTCCAACAAAAGCAGTCAAGAAGACAGCATGCAGGGCCGACCATCCAGTTTACCGGTAAGCCTTTAATTGAGCGTAGATTTAATCATGTATTCGACTTCTACTTTGACTTTCTTCTTGGAGCATAATTCTTTACAGAGAAGAGGGTTAATAACCTACTAAGTTTCTGTTATTCTTATTTGTGCTTCTTTTGTGGGGTTTTTAATTTGTTATTTTAACTCCTGCTGTTAGACCACTTGAGTAATCTCAAAGGTTGCTTTTACACCTCTCACAAAGTTGCACAGCGTCTCACTTTGTTGACAGGCACTGCAGGTTAGCATGTTGTAGGTAAAAAGTAAGAAAGCAAGTGTGCCGGTTACATGATTGTTTGGAGAAAGTCAATTGCCCTCCAGCAAAAATAAAGGTGAGCCCCCCCCACCCCCCCTTTTGTATTTTTTAAGGAGGCGTCTGTGTGTCACACGTTGCCGTTTCCATGGCAGTGTTTATAGGTCAGACTACGAAGCTAACCTCATTCGGCGCCTCGAGGAAGGAGAGTGAGAAATGAGATCATTAATGAAAGAGAATGAAAGAGCGAGCGGGAGCTGGCGGAGCAAAGGGAGATGGGGCGGAGGGGGTGCAAGCAAATAAGTTGAAATAGTAGAGTGAGTGATAAGTTGAAGTGAGAGATGTTGAGCGTGAGAACGGGATGAGAGGAAGGGCTGTCAGTGCAGTGAGGGATGCCCTCAGGATGTGCTTCCTCCTCTTTTATTTATTTCTCTTATTTATTTATACATCTCTGCGGACCCCGCCATTGGCCGAGCCGCTTCAACCTGGACTCTTATTTGTTTTTGTTTTTTTTCTTCTGCGTCTTCTTGGGGATTCCCTCCTTGCGCCAGGTGATTGGCTGCCGTTAATCCGAGTAAAATGTGGCCGTAATACTTCCCAGTAAAGTAGGACATTATGACCAGATCATATTTCCGCTGATTGACAAGATACACTGTGTTGCCAAAAATCCGCCTTACTGCTCCAAAACGTATACATATATTGTTCATGTTCCAGCTTGACTTCTAAGTTAGAAAGTTTGAATATAATTACTCAAGTTTTCCCAATATAATAAATTTTGGTTAAAATAAACAATTTACAACTGGGGAGAAAAGAAAATTATTTCTAAAAAAATCAATCTCCTGGACCTCAGACCTTGGCCAAGCGGCACATCTGCATTCAGACGGTGTTCAGAATCATATAGGTATAAACCTATAACCATCAATCAACATCTGTTGACTATTCCGTGCAGCTTGTGTCGCGCACACACAATCCTCTACACACTGAGATGGCATTCGGTTTGATCAAGAACAAAAAAAAAACATGATCTTACACTTAATTCTGTGATGTGCATTCATTGTGCACAGTTGAAGTATCTTTCCTCCAAATGCGTAAGTCTCTGCGTCTCCCATCTCTTTCAGTCATCATTCAGCGGGGGCTTGGCCTCGCGTCAGGCCGAAGCAGAAAAAAATGCCTTCATCCAGGTGATCTGGATTGCGTATAGGTTTTTTATTGTCCAATCAGGGGTTTCCTGAACATTTTATGCAAATCATCCCATAACTTTTTTAATTGTGGCGCAAAATCTGATCTCTCCGACATGGCAGGAGGGGGCTTTTATACTATTGACATATATTCATCAGGTTTCAATTTCCATTACCAATTATTGTTTTGAAAGCGGTTATTTATTTCAGAACAAGACAAAACTGGTTGTTTGACTAGTAGATATATTATGCCACTCATGCTCATAAAATGTTTGTATGATTTGATACGTACTTGTTGCAGAGGATAATATAGAAACAAATGTGTGCCATTGGTTCAATTTCTGCAGTTTATTTGTGAAAGTGACTAATTTTGCTCAAAGGGAGAGTCTGCGGTGTTCTCCACTTGTTGTTTTCAACAATTTCATGTTACATTTGATTTCAGTAGTGAAATGATCATGTGATTTGATCATCAACGTTTTACTTTATTGTCCAGGTAGGTAAATTTGTACTCTGGTTTGACACATCCTTTCAATGCCACTAGGGCATCTGGTCGGAGCAGTGGTCTCCACATTGCAGTATTTTGACAGTGTGGCTATTGGCACCGTATTTTAGGTGGACTTAAGGTGAACAGACACAATCTTTGAATCCTGGGCCAGATATGGCTGGAAGTGATTGTTCTGTAGCTACTTGAGTGGAGTTGGCACACAGGCAGCTAGAGGCTGCTCATCCAGTGCAGATGGGTTTGTTTGAGCCAGGTGTCGTGTTAGTCTGTCATCAAGGTGGGAATAGAGGTGTGCAGGAGGCTCAGTTCCTGCTGGTAGAGGCAGGTAGACATGTAACACTAAGCTAAAGAAGAACCGCCGATAAACACTGCAGGAGGATACAGTCAAACCAGCTGAGCAGGTTCAGCTGGTTCCTGGTTGGTTTTATTGTCTGCTCCACTACACAGTGAAACGGTTGAACAACTTGCATAAAATGTTTTATTTTGAAAGAAATTTCTATACAACTTAATAAGATTAGATTGCACATGTCAGTGAAGGACTTACTTGGGCTGGGTCAATTCTCCATTAATCAACTTCTCCAAGGTCAACGTCCCTATTGATTGTTGTATGACTTGGAGGACATTCTTTATTAATGTACTTAGTCCTTGTTTCATTATTTAATTGAACTTTCATGGCATTATACAAATTGAGTGCGTGGTGTAAAAGTAAAGGCTCCGTCAGAGCCACGTGACTTTTATTGTTCTGCATGCACCACACATGGGCGACTGAAGTCAGCGCTGTCACAGTCAGCCTCCCAAACATCCTGGAAGTGACACTTCCTCTTGTCAACCCATGGGAATGGAAATGTGTACAAGACCACCACCACTTTCTCCTCCCCTCCCAGCTTAATACATAGCTTCTCTTTAAAAAATCTCCTTGTCCTTTCTCAGGTCTTTTGTATACCCTCTTCCACTGTGAGGTTTAATCCTTCATGGCCCGCCCAATGCTTGGGTGCTCCCCTTTCTGATGTGCTTCAGACTTGAGAGGAAGGTCACATGTTGGTCACACACTCACACTTTTGCTTTGTTTCCTCCCTATGCTCCATCTTCAAGAGCTCATTGTGGAGTGGCTTATCTTAAATGCCCAAAGCGTATTCTTTTTGAATAATTTTTCTATTCTGTATTTTTAGTATGGCTTAATCTTTATAGTTTTATCACCGCTACTACACCAATATTTCTTAATTGAACCCTTCCTTTTGGTAAGCCTGCAGGGACCAACTACCTAGCAACACCACCAGCCCCCCCCCCTCTCCAGTGACCTTAATAAATGTGGCAAGAGCCTTGATGTAAAATTGTGGGCTCTTCCAGCTCTGGTGCAGACCGAAGCTGCCTCACCCTCCCCGCTCCCCGTTCTCTCGCTCGGCCCAGCCCAGCTCTGCTCTGCTCTTCTGCGGCAGCTAAGCTTGTTTTTGCGACATAGCTCTGGAGCAATCAGGCTGACAAGACCGGCCCACTTTTTCCCTCCACTCTACAGCCCAACCCCCTTCCATTCCATTTTCCCCTTCAATTTTACACTGTTTTCTGCTGCATTTCGATCCCTCTTTTTTTCCTTTTCATATAAACTTTCCTCGTTCCTCTTTCTGTCTAAATTCTCATTTTCACTCTCCCTCCCCCCTCCGCCCCTTCCACATTCTCTTCTTCGCTCTCAGTAAATCAGCTTTCATAACACTGTGCGGCGCAGCCTTGTTTTGCGAGGCTGACGTTGACAGTATTCAGAGTCCGGGGCCAGTTTCCTGTTGCTATTCTGGGGCCCTTTGCTTCCTGTGTGGACATGTCTTATTCAGATTCCCGGCACACTCTGTGCGCGTTGGCTCACTCCCCCCCCCCTCCCTTCTCTCATGCTCTTTACTTCTCTCCTCTTTCTCGCCCTTTTCCATTCCCCTCCATGTGATTTTTAATTAATGTACTTGTGAAAATTCAATCTGCTGACAATGTGTTGTTTAGCATTTGCTTCAGTGAATTGTTTCTTGGATGGCAAAAACCCCTGAGCCTTGTTTCTGCTTTTTTATTTCACTCACACTCCTCATACAGCACTCCACTCTTCCCTCCGCTCTCCCCGCTCACTCTTTCCCATGCCCCTCCCCTCCCTGCCTTCATTTCTGCTGGGCTGAGCTAGTTTTGCAGCACAAAGACTGTGGCTGACTGCAGCACTGTCTGTCCTCTGCTTTGCCCAGGCTCTCACTAGAACAAGCTGCTGAGTCTGGATGGTTGAACACTGGCCTCACAATGAAATTAACTTTCCTGTATGAAATAACCCTACATTACTATATACACCCCCACTCTCACCCCCCTTTAATTCACTGAGGATTCAGAGCGCCCTCTAGACACCACTGGGAGGGGCTGATCAGCTCTGGAAAGCAGTGGCTGGAGGGGTCTGAGCTTCCCCATCAACCTACCCCCTTCGAAAAATCCCAGCGCCTTTTTTTTTCTTTCTGCAGGATCCCAGCACCCCTCACCTCAGGCTGGGCAGCTGCCTGCCTCACTCGGGGCATCTGCATACTGCCCTGGGACACCCTTCTACTATTGTAATGGCTACAAAGACCCCCTCCCACACCTACAATCCTCTCATTATTCACAGCAATCAGGGCACTCCCCCTCTCCAGCCCACAATCCTCCACCACGCTGCAGACACTGTATGTGCCCCCCTTTAGTTGTGCCCGAAGAGAAGCTCAATGCAGGCAACATTTAAATCTTCTAATGGGAATCAAACCCCAATTGTCCTTTTGGTTTTTGTCTCTTAAACGAAGCTTGAGCCCTAAAACAACCACCATTGATTATTTTTTTGCTGTTTCATTCTTTGGTCTTCAGATGTTGTTATCCTTCCCACGTGCTTGCTGGTAATAAAGCAGTAAGGTAATGGTGATCTCCATGGACCGGTGTAAAGGTGGTGCACATGGTATGCAGCAGTGATACTCCAGACTCTTATGTGTGACCCCAGCAGGGTGCTTCCAGGCACGTAGCTTTGTGTCATCCCTTCTGTCTTTGTTACTGTTGGTTGTTGCTTTCATCTTGGTGAAAATTGCAGTCAAATAATCTCTATGCTGCCGGTCTAACTTGTGATTTTTTATTGTATTATTTATTTATGCAGGGAGATTAGGTGTGTGTTTTGCTCTTCAGGGTGTAATTTTCTTTTAAGGTTTTTGGTATGCTCTCGTTTGGAGCTCTATAATGGCTGCTGCTAGATGAGGCTGGGGCCTTGCTTTCTGAGTTTCTCCAGTTCATCTTTCACAGTGGGATGGGAGTGCCCCCTTATGGTTATGCTCAGCCCTGCAAAGATGGGGCTGGGCCCGGTGCTGGCTTTCTCCTCACATTCAGTGGACGTCCCTGAACCCCCAATTTGTTGGTGTGTACTCGGGATGCAGGTGGGAATCCCCCAATCAAGTAGTTAAAGCCTGTAAGCTTCACTGTCACAGGAAACATGTGGTTGCCATTTGGCAGCTAAAGTGATTACAGCTTGTGTCATGTGCTCTGACTGAGGCTGCTCTCTGCCAAGCTTATTTTGATTTGGACTGTACAGCGCGGTTATCTGTTTGGCAGCTTGGAGTTCTGATGATGATTATCTTCAGACTTGTGATGTCAAGTTGGCCACAACTTAAACAATGTATCATTTATACAACATAATTTATATACTGTATATCTAAGATAAATATGATAAAGACGTATTCCTTATATAAAAATGTTCTGTCTTTTATCAAAGTTAGTATAATTAATGTAAAATATTACAGTCCAACCATATCAAATATAATAGAGAAGCTTACTAAAAACTTGCACTATTGAAAATGATATCTGAAAATGTCTCAAATTTGAGGCAGATTACATTACAAGCATAAACACAAAGTTCAAGACATCCTCCTGTTTCAGTCCTGAGCAAAGAGCGGCCTAAGGCTGTAATTAAAGTGCTGCTGGCTAGAGCTTGGGCTGTGCATTTCCTGCAACAATGACGTGCTTCTTTTGTAGTAGCTGACTGCGCCGTGACCCTCACTGGGAGGCCACAGAGGAGAGGGAGGGAGAGACAGACGCCAGGGGGGAGGGTCTGACTACACAGTCTAATGTGTCAACCACGTGGATCCTCGTTACCATGGCAGCCTCAAAGATGCAGCCACTTTTTCCCCCCCCCACACCCCATCGCCTAAATCTTACCGCTATTACTCAGACAGGATGTGGAAGCAGCTTGCAATGAGTGAGCGCTTTTTCCCTCCCTTTCTTACATGGGCAGAGTTCATCCATCAGTCACAGTCTCTTGCTCCTTGGCCCTCTTCCCTTTCACAACCACCAGTGAGAGATTTAGTTACACTGGCTAGCATCTAGGGTCACACCGTTCTTGATAAGTTCCATTATCTCACACGTGCAACACCATTTCCCTCCGTGGACTTTTTCTCTCTCTCTCTCTTAAGGTAAAGAGGAGGTAGAAAAAAGTAAGAAAATCGGCTGGCTTGGCAGACTAATGGCTCTGGCCCGGCTTGATTGATTCAGTGAAGTAATCTGCAAATGGAATACATTAAGGACGGCAGAGAGGAGAGCCGTGCAAATGCCTAGGAGACGAGCAAAGGCACAGCGAGAATGTAGAACAGCTGAGGATATTTGAACATTGACAAGAGAAAATGCTGCACGTCATATCCCACATTCATTAGCTTTTGAAATGTAATTATAATGTATGTTTTAGCCACTCGAAATGCCGTCTTTTGCTGTTGCTGCGCACAGTTTTGCAGCTCTGAAGTCTGAAGTTCCATGTTAGGGAGTAGAAACACACAAAATGGCTGCCGTAAAGGATAGCTTTCTGCTCCGTTCTTCTCTCCTCTCCACAAGTTTCTCATTTTCCAACATCGGTTAAATGGCTCTTGTGCATTTTTTCTGCACAATAACGTTATTACATACGTCAATATGTAATACCATGCCATTGCTGTGACCAAATCCCATTCACTATCTCACGTTTTGGGGTAATTTACACATTTCTCAGCTTATACATTTGAAAATTCACAATCACTTCAACAAACTTGTTCCCTACCTAATGTCGAGCGTCACAAGCCACGACCGCATCATCATTGCTCCCTCCCTCCCTCCCTCCCAGCCTCCCTCCCTCACGCTGTCCGGCTTGTGCAGTCAGCAGAACAGACTGGTGCTGTGCTGTATTGAGCTGGGAAAAATCAATGACTGCAGAGTAGGAGTAGGTAGAAGCCTCTGTTCTTGGACGTGCTTGCCTGTGTGGAATGATTATGCCTATCTGGGCTGAAGCATCGCAGGCAGCAGTCAGATTTTTAAAAGATCTGATGGTGTAGTATATGCAGGCTGATATGGTAAAGGTGGCAATGAATATTATATATGGAGATTTGCTTTGGTTATCATTATCAAAACTATTGAGCACCGCCTTTTTATTTTATGATAATATTGCTTGGGATGAGATTTGGTAAGGAATTATCTAGGCGTTCTATTTTAACACCTTCATGAAGTCGGACCATGAACACCTACACAAATTGAACTATTATTTTTCACTAAGCATGTGCAGGAAATTCTATTCAAGCAAGTCCATGTGACATTCTTATTAGAAAAATCTAGATCATTTTACGATTGGCCAATTAAACATTTTATTCCTTTGATTCTGCTGGAGTTTTACAGTTGGAAATGATGTCCTCATGACATGACTCATCCATTATTGATACCTACGCTAGTTATTTCAACCACTTGAAATATAAAACTTAATTTATTCGGAAACCTAATAGATTGTTGCTTTAATGCCACATAAAATGGTGATGGCTAATAGATTGAATTGTCTCAAGGTTTTTCATTCAGCTGTCAATTACAAAATATGAATTGTGTTTTTGTCCCCCCTAATTCATTCCCAAAAGATTAATACATGCATGTTTTGACTGGTTACCCTTAAGTCATATTAAAAAGCACTTTCATTTAATGGCACATTTCCTCCTTCTGTTATTATTTCACTCCTGTTTTATAACTCATGATTGAAGTGTCTTACTGTTGTCGTCTCCTAAAACTTGACTAATCGGCATAAGTCCAAGAAAATATTTTGTACCGAATAGGATATACAGTAATATAAACAATACAGACATTTCTCCATTGTGTGACGCATAAAGGTTCTCTTATCTTAACAGACCAGTGACCTTTTGGGCCTCTGCTCATGTTATACGGGTTCTGGTGTAGAATGTGCTTTTTGTGAGCTGCTATCTCCTGCTGCATCAATGCTTCTGGGGTGGTCACTGCCCCGCACGACATGGGGCCTTGGTGTTGTCAGATGACCCGAGTCTTGTGATGGCTAGGTAGAAAAGGGGGGATGTGGGTCAGCTGACAGCATTGATTACAGGGAAAAGGATTCAGCTATGCTTGCTTTAGAAAGGAATGTCATGCTGTTAGATCTCCCGCTCGCCTCCATCGCATTACCGTCCCAGCTTGCCTCCTGCCTTCTCCTGACCCTCTTTTTCAACATTTGTGAACATTAATTGGGTACTAGCCACCGTAGCACTTAAGAGACTGGAAAGCAGCTCACAAAACCCTCCCACTGCGACTCTCATGGTTCTGCCGCTGATTGTTTTGGTGCCGTCACTGCTTCTCCTGAGTTGGCCACAAAGGCTTGGGTCGGCACACTCAAAGGCAAAAGAGAAAAGCCTAAAAGAAAAAAAAAAGAAGAAAAATTGAGAGGGCAAAGTGAGCAAGGTGGGGGCATGTTGTGTTTGGAATGGGGAGGGGGGTGCTTTCTGAATCAGCGTTCTCCTCCTGTCACTCCCTCTGGGGTTCCTCCATCAGGTCACGTTCCCAAAAATAGCACCGGGCGCCGTTTCAAGTGCAAAAACCGCCGGCTTCGGGGGTTGTAGCCAGCTTGTGCAAGTGTGAGACTTCTATGGGAATAGTTGGCCACCTTCCAGTTAGTACATTCCCCCATCCATGCTCCTCCCCCTCCTCCCGCTCATTTTTCCCTCCTCTGATGTGACTGGCAGATGAGCTTGCATTTCTGAGTGAGCACATGGGCCCCACGTGAGTGGCCCAAGTGTAAACATTCACCTTCCCACAAACATCATGATCGCCGGCTGCCTTCCTGCCTGGCTTTGTGTCACAGCCAAGGCTCACTAACAGCACCACATGGCCCTGGAGTGTATGCCCAGCACCAATTATTTTAACTGCCTTCTGGGATCGTTTCAAATGACCACCAATTCCTTATTAAAATAATATGAATATATTATATAAATAAGATATTCAAATTATATACATACATATAAAACATTACATATTGGTTGGATTGATGTTGTTTGCCTCAAACTATGCAGGAGAGCAGAGTATAGGGGAACCCTACAAAAAAACTTTACTTCGACCTAAACTTTCACATTTTTCACACAAGATTTTTAAAAAGCTGCCAAAATCAATGTCATGAATCTATTGCCCAGCTCTATGTATACCTGTTCCATTTGTGTGTGTAAAAAATGACCTTTTCCAAATTTACAGAATTTAAGTGAATTGGTTACTGTTTGACCACAAATGGTCATTATCACATAATGATTATAAGTTAAAAAGTTAAAATGTGCTAAAGAGCGCCTTGGTTTTCATCAGACCGTTTGTTGTTGTTTCAGGACCTGTCTGGCTCCATTGATGACCTGCCTACTGGGACAGAAGGGGCCTTGAGCCCTGGTGTTAGCACTTCAGGTGTGTCCAGTAGTCAAGGCGAGCAGAGTAACCCTGCCCAGTCGCCTTTCTCGCCACACACTTCACCTCACCTGTCAGGGATCCGTGGCCCGTCACCATCTCCAGTGGGCTCCCCTGCGAGTGTCACCCCCTCCCGCACAGGACCACTGTCTCCTGCTGCTGTACCAGGTAAACTTCACACAGATCCCTGTCCTTATGTACCTCTGCCTCCAGGAAGGCACAATGAACAAGACTTAAACCTGGGATGTTATTCAAATCAGAGACATTTTAAAGCTGCACTAACTGACTTTATTTTTATATTCATTACGAAAATGCTATCCATGTCCATGCAGTGCTTTGGGATATTATACGTCCTTTTGAAGAAAAAGTAGCGCAGGTTTGTGCTGGCGTGACATGTGACATTTTATTTTAGATCGAGTTTTGATGAAACAAGGAAGAGGATGTGTTTTGGGTCGCAGATTATGACCAATCACAGCGCACCACTAGCCCCCACTTTCGTGAGAAATCTACAGGTCCCCGTTAGCATAGACAGCTGAGTTAGCACAACAAGCGGTGGAGCTAACCTGAAGCTTCCGTGTCTTTTTCACTGGTTACTGCTTACACAGAGAAACAGCCATCCAAAAGAAAGTCCTGTTCCTCCGTGCTTCCCGGTTCTATAGTTCTTTGGTCACGCCATCCACGTGCAAATTGGGAGACGCTAGCTCCGTAAACAATAGTGGGTGTGCGGTAGCGGGGGGCAATAGCTTCGTGGGTGCGGGGAGGGGAGGAGAAGAGCGAGGCCAGCGAGTCCGCTGCTTCAAAATCCCAAAGTCAGTTTGTGCAGCTTTAAGGAACATTAGGTATCTCTGCCTCGCCTCCCAGAGCAGGAGGCCGTGGGCTCTGGCTGCTGCAGTGGCCATCGATGGCGCTGCTGTGCTCTTACACAGTAACATCCAAACAGACAGAATTTATCTCTTTATTTCACGCTGGAGTTTTTTGGAAACTTGTAACGGCACAAGTTGGAGCGCTTAAGAATCTGTAGCTAAAATCATGCCATATTTTAGTAGTAATCTCATTACTTTTGAATCTGTTATCTCGACTCGGCAATCCTTGCCAGAGTTTAAAGACATTTTCAGTAAACCTTGGAAAGACAAACAAAATATTATGGTCAAGATCCAGATATCTTCTACTAGTGATTTCTTTTGTTTTAGAACTGTACTGTTTAAAACTATAGCTAGAGTAGTTCACCACCACTGTATGGACAGAATGAATGATACCATGTTAAGCGTCCTTGACTGTCCCAGTACGTTTATAAGATCTTTATTATTTACACTTGGAAAACATGTCAACTTGTTTGCAGTTCAACGAACCAGGTTAGAACAGTTGCCGAAAAGAAAGATTTTAAGCAAAACAAAGATGGTTGTTGTAATGTAAAGTGTTTGTCCTGCAGGTAATCAGATGCCTCCCCGACCCCCCAGTGTCCAGTCAGACAACATGATGCACTCGTCCATGAACCAGTCCGGGATGGGCCAGGACAGAGGTAAGTCTCAGCTGAAGTGTCTGTTCACTAATGGGCCTCAAACACAGACAGAGGAGTGAGAGCCATAGCCTCAGGAGATCTTGTTACGGTGTTTACTTTTTACTACATTCCTCATGTAAACAGACTGGATCTTTAAGCAAGACTGGGTCAGACGGGGAGATCAGACTTGTGTCACAGTGTTGGTTCACACTGGGTCAGGCTGTGTTACGCAATGACTGTTTGAATTGGCTTTCACTGACGTGTTTGTAACATTTCCTCTTTTTCTACCTAGTGTATATGCGCAACCCCAATATGCCGCCTTATGGTTCACCTGGACAACCTGGCTCTGCCTTATCTCCACGCCAGTCTTCAGGAGGCCAGATGCATGCTGGGATGGGACCCTACCCTCAAAACAATTCTATGGGCAACTATGGGCCACAAAGTGGCCAGTATGGACCGCAAGGTAAAAATTGTAATCCAAATTGTATTGTAATTGTATTATTGTATACAATAAATGTTTATAAAATGTCTTATATTTACATTATAACGTAGCGTATAATATTTGATGTCGCTTTATTTTCATCGGCAGGTTATCCCCGGCAGCCAGGCTACACAGGGATGCAGAATGCCAACTATCCCAGTGGTCCTGGCATAAGCAGCTCCATGAACCCCATGTCTGGTCAGGGCACTGGGCCTCCTTATGGAGGAATGCCACCTGGGAGAATGCCCCCGGGGCAGATGGGTGCTCGGCCCTATGGTCCTGCGATGGGCTCCAACATAGCCAATATGCCCCCGCAGATGGGCGCTGGGATGTGTCCACCTCCAGGCATGAACAGGAAAGAGGGTGGACCCGCCATGCACCACGGACCCTCCAACTCCATACACACCAGGTACCTACCAAGAGCACAATCTCAGGCCCCACGTCACATGAAGGCTTTAATATCTTATAGTTAGAGCAGCTGTTAGGTCTGTAGATTTGTGACTACAAAAATTGTCATTGTTAAATGTTTTTGCGGTTGGGACAAACAAGATGTCAAGACATCTAAGAAAGTAAATCTGCAGTGAGCCAGAATGAAACGGAGAGCGTCCTTTTGGAGCTCTGTGTTGTGTAAAATTGTAACTAGGCCATTAAATGTATACACTTTTCATATTTAAGTGCTAAATGTATGACTAACATCACTACTATCTCCCAGACCACCAGGCTACCCCAACATGTCACAGGGCATGATGGGAGCGGGCGCCGGTTATGGGCCTGGGATGAACAGTATGCATGGAATGATGAACCAGGGAGGTCCAGGACCATACCCAATGGGAGGAAATATGCCCAACAACACTCCTGGTAATATTTGTCTTCATAAAACCGTCTGCTGTTGATTTATACTCTCCCTTTAAACAATGACATTTCACGTTTCATCTCTTACTCAGGAATGCCTCCTACTTCAGAGTTTGGTATGGACAAAATGAACCAAGCTCCAAAAATGAACAACAAAGTAGATGGGACTCCAAAATCTGAATCCAAAAAGGTACGTATTTATTATTTAGCTGTTATTAGCTGTAATTCTTTTAATGGAAAATGTTCATAATGGTGTGTCTCCTTTTTTTAGAAGTCGAGCTCCTCCACTATCACTAATGAAAAGATCACTCGGCTGTATGAGCTTGGCCCGGAACCAGACAGGAAGATGTGGGTTGACCGGTACCTGGCCTTTTCTGAGGAGAAAGCGTTAGGCATGAACAACTTACCCGCTGTTGGACGCAAGCCTCTGGACCTCTTCCGACTCTATGTGTCTGTGAAGGAGATTGGTGGACTAACGCAGGTAGACCACTTCGTACTGTCAAACCCATATTACTTATGTACTGCTCTTTGTACTTTAGATCTAAGCTTCTTCTACGTCTTCCTTATTTTGCCATCAGGTCAACAAGAACAAGAAGTGGCGAGAGTTGGCAACTAACCTAAACGTGGGCACATCCAGCAGCGCCGCTAGTTCACTGAAGAAACAGTACATCCAGTGTTTGTATGCCTTCGAGTGCAAGATCGAGCGAGGAGAAGACCCACCCCCTGACTTTTTCAACACGGACAATAAAAAGAACCAGCCCAAGATCCAGCCTCCCAGTCCAGGTGAGCTTTGACATACACTACTGCTTTACATTGAATTACTCTCCTTTCTCTCCACTGGGAAGACATCACATGACTATAAAGTATTAAGTTTTATTGTACCCTATTAATTGCATGAAAGGCCATTCTAGAAGCTCCCGTTTATCACGTTGGACGCTGCCTCCCTGGTTATCGGCAGAGTTGTAAACGAGCCATGCACAACTGTATTTCACAATGGAGTGTGAGGCTTGCCCTGGACACCCCCTTTCTTTGGGGAATACTCCGTGGCATTTTCACATGACATAACAAAAAGGCTCTCTGGCTCCATGAGCGTGCCGAATCATTCAATGGACAAAGTGTGCGCCGTAAGAGTGTCATGGCACAGGGCAAGTGGAGAGGCTGTGTGGATGATACTTTCCATAGTGAAAGATGCTTAACTTCACATTAATAAAGTGATTTTATTGGTGTGGAATGTTCCTATTATTATTCTGATCAATTTGTTCAAGGTAAAGTGGTCTGTTGCTGTGAAACTGAAATTGTATCTCATCTATTTGTAGTAAATAGTCTACAGATCTACAAAAAGGGTTTCTTACGGAACACAATAAAGAACAAACTTTGTATTCATCTGATTTGGCAATGGTGTAACTATATTACATAAGTGTTTATAAATTTCCGTGAGCGAAGAAATTTATTGCACGCTTATTCTGAAACGTGCCAATATTGCGGTAAAAGTGAATAGATATCTCAAGTTAATCACGTTGTTGTTCAAGCATAAACCTTAATAAATCTTGTGTGCCTAGTTCAACTGTAATTTTCCATTGAGGTTTTCATCAGGTTAGTAATTTTGTTAACAATTAAGACCACTGACCCAGGATTAGTAACGGTAAGGTACTATTCACTGCTCTCTGATATTGGCCAGGGTCTAACCCTTGTGGAGGTTGTTTGGGAGTTTCCTCTGTCATCTGTGACTGCTGCCAAAAGCCAGCCACACCAGGAGTGACCACGTGCTGCTGCTCTGGCCTCAGCCCAGACTCGGTAGACCAGCTGGGGGCACTGACTCAGCACAAGGGGATGTTACACGAGGCGTTGGGTGCTTGTCAGCTGTCATCTAGTTGGCAGAGCAAGGAAAGTCATCGAGGGCTGGTTTGGCGATAGCTCTGCTCCATCATTGTGCTGTCCACTGGTGCCTAAATGTTATCTGCAAAAGGCAATGCTTTCTTGAGTTGTGTCCCGAAGCCAGAAATTAAAAGATGATGTTGGTGTTTGTTGTTTTGTACAATTTTAGCAGCCGATGTGTTAAGACTTAAAATGTTGCATTTCTTCCTCATGGTTTTATAAGAGTGCTCACCTCCTTGAATTTGCTTTATGCTAATTTAAATGAATAGTATATACACGCTTTGAGTTTGTTCACAAAAAATAAAGGGTAATGCCTCCAGTTCGGCCTGGTCCAACTTGTGTACCTCAGTCAGGCTACAGAACCCTGCACCACCCTCTTTGTTAAGCCATAGTCCACCGGTCTGTGTCAAACATGACTGTTGTGGTGGTTAATTCAAATTTGAGCTGGTTTCATCCAATGTGAGATGAAATCTACAGACATGATGGAGGCCGAGTGAGTTTTAAAATATTTTATTAATATTGTTATCGAGATCCTGTTAGACAATTAAAGATGTAATATCACTAATTATGAGGTTACTGTGTACCATGTGTGCTGTTGTGGGTAGATCTAGTTCTGCTGTGACTTGGACCACTTTGTTTATTGCCGTCTGCTCAAAGTTGGTAGAATGTGTGTGCAAAAGTCACGTGACTCTCTCTCCTCCTGACTCTTTCGATCATACTATTTTCTTCGCCCTCATGAGACACCCCCTCCCTTTCCCACATCTTTGCAGGGAAATCCCTGCCCGGGGGAGGGGGAGGGGCATGTGTGTGTGTGTGTGTGTGTGTGTGTGTGTCGGAGTGCTACAGTGGCTGATGTGTGAAAATGTGAATAAGTGTGACCTGCCGGTGACCCTGTGTGTGCGCCAGTTTAATGAATGGGAACCTGTGAGTCATCAAATCTGCCTAATAGTGTCAAGTCCCTGGCTTAAGTTAATGATGAGCAACCAAAACAAAGTCATGTGTGCACACATCACTACGTCAGTAATCTGTCAGAGCCGGCTTCAGAGTATTGTTTCCTGGAGAGCCCACATTTGAGGAATGATGGAACCTAGTGTTTGGCAGGGGGAGCGGAGCGTGGGATTGGGATAGGATAAAGGCTTCTTTTTTTTGCTGGCTGTGCACACCAAAACCAAGTTGCATTAACACAAACCCTACTTTACTGCTGTCACAGCAATCCGGAATTTGTAAATGGAATTTTGCAATCTCAAAAGCAGCATGTTTTTATAAAACCTCCACTAGCGCTGGGTCTATCTTTAAGGCCCCACATGGTACCCTTCGATCAACAGTCAGCTCTCCCTTTCATTTCTACACCAACTGAGATGACTGAGTTTCTTGGATGTGTGATTGTGTTGACTGTCTGGTGCTTTTGACTTGAACATCGCAGTTTATGATGGTTTGAGTATTTCAGAAGCATATAGTGCATAGCGTCATATCATTAGTCTATTATGTGGTGAGCAGTGATTAGCCAAACCATTCTTTCTGTTGTACTCAAAAAGTGGTAACGTATTTTGCAGCTGGCTCTGGATCACTTCAAGGTCCTCAGACCCCTCAGTCTAACAGTAGCTCCATGGCAGAAGGAGGAGACTTAAAGCCCCCCACCCCAGCTTCAACACCGCACTCGCAAATGCCCCCCATGCCCGGTGCAAGGTAGGTGCTTTTCATTCACACCCTCAATGACTTAAGTATATGTTCCTTTGGTCATTTCATATCATATTAATATCATATTAATAACCTGTATATATAAATAACAAAATCTCTTTTTTGTAGAAGTAGTGTTAATCTTCAGGATCCTTTCGCTGATGGTGTAGATCCTGCATTTCCAAGAAGAACCCCCAATTCTCAGGGCTACCAGCCTGGACCAGAAATAATGAACCGGATGGGTCCCTATGACTCCAAAGACCCCTTTGGTGGCATGAGGAAAGGTAAGCTCAGTCACTTTTGTAATAAGCTGATGTTTTAGTGGCCACTTCTCATAGTGTTTGGTGTGCAGCTGGAGAGCAGTTCATGCAGCCGGGCCCCAACAGTGGGATGGGAGAGCAGTATAATCGGGGTCCTCCTGGACCTATGGGGAACATGCAGATGAGCCAGAGGCAGCAGTATCCATATGGATATGAACGAAGGTATAACATAGTGTTGCATGTCTGTGGAGGTTCATAATACATGTCCAGCAGCATAATGACATGTTCTGGTTCTGCAGACAAGAGCCTGGGATGGGCCCTGATGGAGGCCTGGTGGGGCCTGGTGCTCCACAATCCAACATGATGCCTTCTGGAGCTGATGCAGGGATGTACTCTCCCAGCCGCCCCCCACCACAGCAGAGGTGTGTCTGTGCTTTTTCATTTTCAGTTATTTTTTTCTTAATATTTATATCTATATTGATGGATTGATAGATGTGTGTATATAATATAATATGGATGTGTTGAAAATGTTCTTGTTTTAATATTACACATGTTTGTTAGGCATGAGTCCTATGGCAACCAGTACAGTGGACAAGGAGCGCCCCCTGGTGGCCCGTATACAAATCCACAGCCAGGAATTTATCCACAGCAGCAACCGGTGAGAACATAATGTTCAGTGGAAACGTACAACTTAACGTCAGATCTTTTTTAAATCCAAATATTTCAGATGTAATATTTTTATTTACTCAGCCATTCAGTCATATAAGCAATTTATGATAATTTGTCAGAGAAGATGGGTTCCTTACTCTAGTCTTCAACATAAGTATTTAACACTCTTTGAAATTAGGTCAATTCCATAGGTTTCACTGATATGTTGCGTTTCTAATTTTCAGAACTACAAGCGTCCTGTGGACGGAGGCTATGGTCCTCCTGCCAAACGTCATGAGGGCGAGATGTACAATGTCCCATACAGCGGTCCGCAGCAGCCGGGGCCCCAGCCTTCTGGGCCACAGGGTCAGCAGGACATCTACAACCAGTATAACACATACCCAGGGGGCGAGCGCAGGCCGCCTGGACCACAGAACCAGTTTCCCTTCCCTTTTAACCGGGACAGAGGTCCAACTTCGGCAGGGCCCAACTCCCAGTCACCCATGGCCCCTCAGATGATGGCCAACACGATGCCTTCTGGCCCTGATGGCCCCCAGGGGCCTATGTGGCAGGGTCGCAATGAGATGGGCTATTCAAACTTCCCTAATAGGCAGGGGCCCCCTGTCCCGGGTCAAGGTCCCGGCTTCCACGGCATGAACCGCTCTGAGGACATGATGTCTTCAGACCAGCGCATGAACCATGAAGGCCAGTGGCCTGGCCACATGAACCAACGACAGCCCCCATTTGGTCCTGGAGGCTCCGGGCCACCCATGTCCCGGCCGTTGCCTTCCACATACCAGACTTCTCAGAATCACATTTCTCAGGTCTCCAGCCCCACCCCCATGCCTCGTCCCATGGAAAGCAGGACTTCCCCCAGCAAGTCCCCTTACATGCACCCGGGCGTCAAAGTGCACAAGGCTGGTCCCCCGGTTCCTGCGTCCCACATCGGACAAACCCCTGTGCAGCAGCCCCTCATCCGGAGAGACGTTGCCTTTCCCCCAGGCTCCGTGGAGGCGTCGCAACCCCACCTGAAGCCCCGCAAGAGGCTGACCATGAAAGATATTGGTAAACATTCCTCATACACTCTCCAGTTTCGGGATTCAATCTCAATTTTACATTTGTTTTATAATACACTCTTTTTTTTTTTTTTTTTCTACCTAATCTTCTCTCTAACCCTTACATAAATGTTTGCTTTTTAAGAATCCAAAATAATGAAACTTGAACAAACTCACTGTAAAGTACCACTGTATTTATGAAACAAGTCGTAAAGACTAAATATTTTAAGCTTGAGCCAAAGTGATGTTGTTGAGGGGGAAATTCATCAAATCCACAAACTGCTTGTTAAATGTTTTAAAATGGTAGTAGTAAAGTGTGTTAACTGTAAGGAAGATTAAATAATTTGAATACATGTTCATGTAAAAAGTAGTTTTAGTTTAAATCTCACATGTGGTGTTTCGTTAGGAACTCCAGAAGCCTGGAGGGTCATGATGTCGCTGAAGTCTGGTCTTCTGGCTGAGAGCACTTGGGCCTTGGATACCATTAACATCCTGTTGTATGATGATGGCAGCATTTCCACTTTCAACCTGTGTGGTGTAAGTTGTGCTTTTGTGTCATGCTGTTGATGGATCCTAATGTAGGAGTTTGTGTTGTGACTGTGTTCTGTTGTTCACAGCTTCCTGGTTTCTTGGAGTTGGTTGTGGAGTACTTCAGACGATGCCTCATTGAGATCTTTGGCATTCTAAAGGAGTATGAAGTGGGAGACCCGGGCCAGCGCGTCCTTCTAGACCCGTTTGCTGAGGATCAAGACTCTGATGACTATATCCCAATGCCCGAGGGAGGAGATATAGACACAGATGAGGAAGAGGAAGAGGAGGAGGAGGAAGAGGAGGAGAAGGTGCGACCAGTCGTTCTTGTGAAGGAAGAAGTCCACACGCCCCTTGGCAAGTCTGCAGAGGACCAAGAAGACCACAAGGAAATGGAGTCTCCTGTTAAAGAACCCTTAAGTTCTACCTCAGGGTCTCAGGACCCCACTGTCCATCTGGAGAAGCCAAGACAGGCCAGCAAATTTGACAAATTGCCCATCAAGGTAATTCGAAAGAAGAACCCTTTTATGACAAAGCATGCATCCAAGCTGAAGCAGCTGCAGAGCTTTGACAGCGGACTTGTACACTGGAGCATTGGGGGAGGGGACACTACAGAACACATCCAGACCCACTTTGAGAGCCGCGTGGACCTTTTCAAACCGTGCAGGCGCACAGCAGCCTCCGAGGCCCGAAAGAAAGTCACTGTACCTCAGGCAGCGGTGGAGACACCTGACCCAGCCAAGCCCATCAGTGAAGGGTCTCCACAGCCCCCTCAGTCCAACCACACAGAGCAGAGCTCCATGCCCATTGGAGCACCTGTCACCGCCACCATCGACGACGTTCTGTCTGCTCGTCCTGGCTCCGTCACAGAAGAGGTGGTGCGTGGTGGAGTGGAGGAGCAGAAGGAGAACGGAAAGTACCTGTTCAGCATAAACCCAGAGCTCCAGAGCCGGCGGAATGTCAAAATCCTGGAGGACGAGCCCCACAGTAAGGATGAAACTCCTCTCTGCACACTGTCTGACTGGCAGGACTCTCTGTCCCGCCGCTGCATCTGTGTGTCCAACATCATCCGCAGCCTATCCTTTGTACCGGGCAACGACCAGGAGATGTCCAAACATCCAGGACTGCTGCTGTTGTTGGGTCGACTGGTCCTCCTCCACCACCGGCACCCTGAGAGGAAGCAGGCCCCCGTCACCTACGAAAAGGAGGACGATGTGGACGAGGGGGTGAGCTGTGAGCGGGACGAGTGGTGGTGGGACTGTCTGGAGGTGCTGAGGGAGAACTGCCTGGTCACGTTAGCAAACATTTCAGGTCAGCTGGACCTGTCCATCTACTCTGAGAGCATATGTCTGCCGCTACTCGACGGCCTGCTCCACTGGGCTGTGTGCCCCTCTGCCGAGGCCCTGGACCCCTTCCCGACACTTGGACCACATGGCTCCCTCTCCCCTCAGAGACTGGTTCTCGAGACCCTCAGCAAGCTGAGCATCCAGGACAACAATGTGGACCTGATTCTGGCCACGCCCCCCTTCAGCCGCCTGGAGAAGCTGTACGGCTCACTGGTACGTCTGGTGGGAGAGCGGAAGGTGGCCGTGTGCCGAGAAATGGCGGTGGTGCTGCTGGCGAACCTGGCGCAGGGTGACAGCTTGGCGGCCCGGGCCATAGCTGTTCAGAAAGGCAGCGTGGGGAACCTGCTGGGCTTCCTGGAGGACAGTCTGGCAGCCACTCAGTACCAGCAGAGCCAGAGCTCCCTGCTGCAGATGCAGCACCACTTTGAACCCACCAGTGTGGACATGATGCGGCGGGCGGCCCGCGCCCTGCACGCTCTCGCCAAAGTGGAGGAGAACCACTCAGAGTTCACTCTGTATGAGTCGAGGCTACTGGACATCTCTGTTTCCCCTCTTATGAACTCTCTGGTGTCCCAGGTCATCTGTGATGTACTGTTTCTGATCGGCCAGTCATGACAGCCGGGGGACAGTGTCTGCCCTTCTGTACCCCTACTACACCCACTTTTTGTGTGAGTGAGTGCCTGTGAGTGTGGCTGAGCACTAAAACTGTCCTTTTATTTTTAATTTATGCAAAATCACCTCGGATTCCACTTTCTTTGCCCCTGCTTCTCACTAAAGGAAGGAATATGATGAAGTAGCTGTGGATTTTCAGATAGATGCTGGCACAGAAGAGCAGACTGGGACCGAGACGTAGGACAGAGTGCATCGCTCTGCAGAAAGAACTTGTTTTTTAATTAAAAGAAAAATCTCCAGAAAAAGAAACTGTAACCAAAGTTGCTGTCTCGTTTACAGTGAGTTTGGGGGATCCATGTGTTCACCTCTTCCTTTGGGGTCTGTAGGAAGAAGGGTGCGTGAACTTGACAATAATCTGGTTCATGTTTGGAGGCTACATAGACTCAGACTGTGGTTTGGTATAGTTGCTGTAACTTTGGATGCTATATACACCCCACAGGAACCACGTTATTGGCTGTGAACAGATGACTGTCATGGGAGGCCTGTGCAGTAGATTGTAGAACTTTTTTCTGTACTGTACACCTTAAACTGTAAACATACTGTAATAATACTGTTTCACACTGAGATACGCTGGCTTGGCAGCAAACTGTAGTTTTTAAACAGTTTTAGTTCACGTCAAGAGAGAAAACTGCTTTCCCCCAAAAGTATGGTGAACCTACAACACCCCGACCTCTTGTCCCTTGATTGTATGACTTGACCCTTATATTAAAGTCACCTCTCTAGGACTGGTCCTCAGCTCTAGATGCAGTCCAAGCTGCAGTGTATATATGATGTTGTACATTACACTTCTTTCTCATCTTCTGTTGCTCTTCACCATTTTTAACAATGACGAGTTTCCCTGCATCACTCGGCCATGGGACTGCCCTGCCCTGCTCCTCAGGCTGGTGCTGTAGGAGCGTGGTGTCCAGCTGCTGACCAACACCACAAACACATACAGTTTGAGTTAGTCTTCAGTCTGGGTGTAGGTTGTAATATTCAATCATGTCTGCGGTTCCATTTGAGATCTCAGAAAGACAAGCTAGACCTCGATGAAGAAAACATTATTTTTTTTCCTTTCCAGTGATGCGGATTCTGCAAATTTGTATTTCAGATGTAGCTAAAACTTGATGTAAATTCCTCCTTTTTCCTTTTTTGCTTAATGAATATCATTTATTCAGTATGAAAATCTTTATACTATATGTTCCACGTGTTAAGAATAAATGTACATTAAATCTTGGTAAGACGTTTGCTGTTGATTTATTCTTTGACTTGGACTGAACACTTTTTTGTGCTGTATAGTTTGTCCAGTGACCCCCCCACACTTTGGAATCTTTCTCAGATATGTATTATGAGATTAGAATCAACTGGCACAAAGAATAACTTGGATTACATTTAGCAAGCATGCTTCAGATTCGTTGCATTCTTGATTGGGGGTTGTAGTGAGTGAATAGTTTGCAAAAACGAATCATTGACAATATGAGAGGCTTACAATTTGCTCTTTACCAAAATGGTTTTGTGAAGCCATACAAAAAGTTTAACACCTTATTGAGCAAATGTTCTGTCAATAACAAAACATTTTGTTATGTGTTCCTCTAGTTTCAATAAACTATTTGACTTTCAAGTAGTCACATCGCAATTAAACTTTTCAGCTCGGATCACAAGATATCAACATTAGCGATTGGAAGTCGGTATAATCACGAAGGAAATTCAAACTACACTCCAGAAATTTGGGGTACATTTTTTTTAAGGTCACTATAATGCAATATACACATTCTGATCTCTTGATGTGTACATGTAGACCTATAATGGCCTACATGTAAAAACCTTGATTACTTTGTCCTAAGCTTTAGTGATGCACCATTGGAAAGCAATTTTCTACACTAAACTTGATGATTGTGAAATGTACCTAGCAAAACCATATTGCGAGTGTTTGATAGAAAATATACTATTGAGGGAAAAGTTGTAAATTGCAATTGATGGTCTGCATGACCAGGTTGAAGCTCACTGCGTTCCCTTATCAAATTTCAATAGTGAGACCTTGAACATAGGCTGACAACTTCCTGGCCAAGCCCCCCATCCCGTGAAGTTTACAATGAGTCTGAATTAACAGGTGTGGCTGCTAATGCGTTCTCAAAGGGCCTTAGCAATTAGAGTAAACTTTATTGCATAGTGTACAACAGTAAGAAACATGTAGTTAATTGCACATTTTACAATAGATTTAAACTCCTTTGGTTATTCTGAATACAAGTATGATTTACTGGGATTGTGTTCAATGGTCAGTAAATTACTTTGAAAACAAGACATAATAGTAAATGTACCAATCCATCCCTTAAGCAGAACCCATCCTAGTATTTGCATTATAACAGGTACATGTTAATGCACCTGCAAGAACACAGAAAATTCCTCATTTAAAGACTGACATTTGACTGAGTGGCTGCATAGTCTATGCAGCCACTATATGCTATCCTGTTTATTCTTCCACTTCCGCCAGATTTGGCACTTTTCAACTCAACGCTTTCACCAAATTATAGTTACAACCGGCTTCACTATTGCTTTTCACACTTCCAGATATTGAAAGTTCAAGCACTTTCCCATTGGACCAGAACAGATACTCCCCATACATTACCACACTTACATCTTCTAATGTCATCTTCACTTCTTCCTCCCCTTTTTTCTTCATCCCTAACCCAACATCTATGCAGCCACTCACAATGGCTTCAGCCATTGTACCATTTCTAGTTAAGAATAGCAATCTAAACCTCAATTTGTACCATACACGTTACCTGAAAGTACAGAGTTTTAAAACAGTAACCACAAGTCAAGGTTTAAGTTTAAGCCACACGTTTATTAAAAATGTACAAATTGATAGAACAGTTCTAGTTTCAGGCCCTTAAGATTTCAATGACTCTTGGCTCAAAGTGTAAGTGACTCCAAAGAGCTCATCAAAAGAATCTTCCAACACAGTACACTTTCTTCACAATGTTTGCTCAAAGACATCTGCCCCTGAAAAAGAATAATTATATTTACAATGAAAAAAACAAAGATGAGATTTAAACATCCTAGTCACCCGTTAGCTGTTTGGACTGTATCCTGATCCACTTGCTGCTCTTGTGAACGCTGGGCTTCCGTGGCTTGAGAGTCTGCTTGTGGCGAGGGGGGAACGTGTACCTTCTCACATGTGGTAGAGTAGATGGCCTCGCTGCACGCCTCGTGGTGGGGGTGGTAGTTTGTGCCACAGGCTCCTCATCCCCCAGACGTTTAATGGGATAACCACCAAACTCCTGTGGGATGTAGTGGACGATGACAGGGGCATAGCGCAGTCCTTGGCCTGGTCCACTCTGCTGCTCAGGTGCCAGTTTCACCCCGAAATTATGTGAAACTAGATGAGGCTGGGGGAAACCAGACTTCCAGGGCATTGGAAGCCTTGACGTCTCATGGAGGCGAGAGGCATGGGTTTTTCTCCTGCCACCATTTGCATGCACTCTGGACCCACGAGAGAGCCCTGATGTAGCCTGGATATGCTCCTTTGGTCGAATAAAGCCCTTCTCTTTCTGGGCACTGAGTAGAGCACGGTTATCAAAAACTGGCTTTTGCAGCAATTTCTTGTCATTCCAGGCAGAGGCCCTAGATCCTGACTGATGCTGTTTCGAACTATGCCCGTCTGGGTTGGCATTTGGCCTTAAACGTCGGGAACCCTGTTTACTAGGCAAAGTCCTGCCAACACCATTGTGCTGCTTGAAAGACTCATGCTTACTCACAGAACTTCCACGACGAATGGAAGTAGTGTCAGTGTTGTAGCTTTTGGCATTAGTTAGAGAGCCCTGATAATACTTGACTGACTGGGCTGGTGAGGCGAGGTAAGGGGTCCGTTTGTTATATGGTCCCTGGTAGTTTGTAGAACTGCTTTTAGCCACGAAGGCCTGTCTGATGTCACCCTGGGGACTGCTGCCTTCATACCGGCCATGCACATGTGATAGGTCACCTGGTGGGCCAAAGAAGAAGTTTTAATACTGAGGAAACATGGAAAGGAAAAGCAAGTACATTGGGATAAGGTATATTCTGGAAACTGAATTTATGAACGATCTACAGCTATATCCATATGTCATTTATACATTTGACCTGGTGTGAAGTGATCTATGGCACCAAAACAGATCTGGCTTAAAACAAAATAAAACTTGGTAAAGGATTAGGGTTCCATTTACAAAAAACAAAGAGACCACTATGTGCCAGTGTAGAAATTATTGAGTCGTATTTGGGGCTTACCTTGTGACCACGCAGAGCAGACCTGCAGACCCTGAAGGACGCGGAGCAGCAGAATCCTGCCACAACAGAACCGATACAGTAAATGTACATTGGCAGAACTCTTCATAGTCACAGTGTTGAGCAAAACTTACCCCAAATAAAATCCACAAGTCATGTCTGTGCCGTGTAAAGCAGCAGGGTGTCGCGGTCCCCAAGGCCTGAGAGTCCCTGCGGAGGTGAAGGCCCGCGGCGTCTTTATACGCCTCAATCAGCGCCATGATGAGCCACAGCTGTGCAGCCCGCGCGCCCTCCTCACCTGACCATAGACCCGACATCATTCTCAGGTAACGTGTAGAAATATATATTTATTTATTTACTCATTTTGAGAGGATCATATATCATTATCATATATATACACACAGCTACAGCTACAGGAGACGAACTAACATGAAATCCGCTGAAATTGTATCACATTTTTATCATGTGCAATACGTTGTGATGACTCGGAAGTACCACTAGATGGCAGCATTCCTTAAAAAAGAGGCGGTGCGGTGGATGGTTCATAAATTTGGGATGTCCTTCTGAGTGCCGATGACATGGGTCTGACAGTGGTGTTCATGTGGGTACCAGTCCATCTTGGGGTTCCAGGAAATTAGGTGGTAGATTCAATAGCCAAGCACCTACTTAAAATTACATTTGTGCAAAAACAACCATATTGCTGTGTTGTCGCAAAGAGAGTTTAGGAGATACTCTATGGATTGGCCCCTAATTTGGCTCTTATTAGCAAGAGAGAGAATTAATAGTTACTTAATGTAACTTAAGTTCTACGAATAGGTGCGTAGTCCCTTAGGACTTCGCTAGTGGGATATCACTCGTGACCCCCAGGTCACACGCCAGAGAGATCAAAATAATTTGCTCCAATCACCAGCCACCTTCCTCTATAAATGCCCCTGCACAAGGCCGCACCCCCTCTTGAACTCTGCCAAGCCGGGCAGGCCTGATGGGCTCGTAGCTAAGGGACTACGCACCTATTCGTAGAACTTAAGTTACATTAAGTAACTATTAATTCTACGTCATGGTGCTACGTCCCTTAGGACTTTGCTAGTGGGACACAACGCGGAGGCCGTAGGAAAATGTACTCCCAGCAGGCCAGCGAAGGGTGATTGGAGCTCCGCCCTAGCAAGACCCTCACAACGTGAGAGGACTCAGGGCAGAAGAAACAAGCGTGTTACGGGGCCACTCCTACCAAGGATACCCCCACGTAACACAAGCCGTAGGTCATCCGTAGTCACAGGACGCCTCTCCCAAGAGCTCCTGACGTGGACTACCAGACCGACCAAACACACAAAAATGTACCGCACCTGTAGGATGCCTCTCCCAAGAGCTCCTGCACCAGGGCGGAAATAAACCGAAGGCCCCCTCAGGGGAGGGACCCAACGGTCTAACTCAGTCCGCTGCACTCAGCACGGAATGGGCCACCGACCGGTCCGACACATCCGAAAGATAAGACCGGACGAAAGAGGAGGACGACGCCCAAGAAGCCGCACGGCAGACGTCCTCGACCGACGCCCCCCTGAGAAGGGCCGTAGAGGCCGCCATCCCACGCGTGGAATGCGACCTGAAACCCACCGGGGGGGCCAGACCCTGCGATTGATACGCCCGCCGCACAGCCGTGGCGACCCAATGCGCCAGCCGCTGAGCCGACAGCGGGGCGCCCCTGTTCTTGGGGCCCAGACACACAAACAGCTGACCACCCAACCTGAATGACGAAGTCATGGCCAGGTAATGCCTCAGCATTCTGACAGGACACAGAAGGTGCTGCCGCTCCTCCTCGGGGGAGGCATGCGGCGGCGGATGGAAAGCCCTAATCCTGATGACTCTCGACCTAAAGGCCGACGTGATGACCTTGGGGAGAAAAGCCGGATTGGGCCACAATTCCACCATGCCGTCGTCCTCTCCAAAGGACAGGCAAGACGCATGGACGGAGAGCGCACACAAATCGCCCGCCCTCTTAGCAGACGCCAACGCCAGCAAGAGGGCCGTCTTAAAGGCGATACACTCGGGACTTGCCTCCGCCGCCGGTTCAAAAGGCGGACCCGACAGCCCCCTAAGGACCACCCTGAGGTCCCAAATCGGAGGCGTTCTTTGGAGCGGGGGCCTCCTCCTGCGCGCCCCCCGCAGAAAACGTTTAACCAACGGATGAGAACGGGCTGTGAACCCCCCGAATCCGTCGTGACCCGAAGTAATGGCTGCCGCGAACACCGCCAAGGTAGCGACAGCCCTCCCCTTGTCGAAGAGCTCCTGTAGGAATCCCAGGACCCCCTCCAGCGGGCAACACCTGGGATCCCAGGAACGGGAATCGCACCAGACACTGAATAGCCTCCACCTCGTGGCGTAGGCCCTCACAGTGGACGGCGCCCTCGCTCCCTGAATGGTCTCCACCACCGCAGGGGGAAGACCCAGGTCTACGAGGCTCCGCCTCTCAGCCTCCAAACCCGGAGCCTGCGGCCGATTATCGGGCGTGAAAACAGGGCTCCTCCCCCCTGGACTAGAGCCCCCGGCTCGTCCGGGAGGGCCCAGGGATCCATCACCGCCATGCCCCTCAGGAAGGGGAACCACCGGGCATGCGGACTGTCCGGAGCCACCAGGATCACCGACCTCCTCTCCTGTTCGATCCTCCGCAGCAGTGGCAGAGGCCAGAAGAGGCCAGAAGAGAGCGACCTATCCAGGGCCCCGGTGATGAAGGCCATGTTGTTCGCCACAGCGACGACCTGTGCCGCATTGGCGTAACATCTGTCGTGCATCGCCAAAGACATCCTGTCCCGCTCGGAGGGAAGGAGAGGTCTGGTGCCGGGCCACACGGATGCGGAGGGGTGCAGGGCCACTCGAACCGAATCCTCGATGTCCGGGACCCCGCCGGTCCAGGACCAGTCCTGCACGTTGCAGTACATGCCGTACCCCAAAGCGGGCCTCTTGGCCGCTAGGGGCTTTGGCCACTCACGTGTCGCGTAATGGACGATCGGGTCCATCCGCGGGCACAACGTGGGCTGCGTCCTCCTCCTCCCTCGAGTGGTGGCGTAACCAGAGGTGAAGTCCTCCACCCTCTGGTTCGGTTGCGGTGGCAGGGGCGCATCCATGATGGCCGCCGCCGTGGAGTAGAGCCCAGGCATGTGGTCCAGCGGGAAGCGGTCCGGCTCCGGGTTGGACACCACCTCGTCCAGCGTGAGGAGAGAGCCGACCTCCGAAACCTCTCCGTCCTCGCAGTCACCCCACTCCGCGGGCACGGGTGGAAGGTCGAGAGGGGCCCAGTCAATCACAGACTCCTCGTCCTGAGAGGAGTCCGGACGGGGCGCTGTAGCGGCGAAGAACGCGCGCCTGCGTTTACTCTCCTCCCTGGGGAGAGCGAGACACGAGGCGCAGGTGGCGCTCAACGCCGCATGGCCCGAACCCAGGCACACGAAGCAGCTGGAGTGCTGGTCCTTGCGCTGGAGCTTGACCCGACAAGTCAAGCAACGACGACGTCCGACGCCGGATGGCGAAGGGGAAGTCGGACGAGCATCAGAAGACATCTTTTTCTCTGGTAAAATTGAACGGTAGATCTCAATCGGCGCCAGAGTGAAAGAGGGGGTGCGGCCTTGTGCAGGGGCATTTATAGAGGAAGGTGGCTGGTGATTGGAAAAAATTATTTTGATCTCTCTGGCGTGTGACCTGGGGGTCACGAGTGATATCCCACTAGCGAAGTCCTAAGGGACGTAGCACCATGACGTAGAACGGATGTCTCAAAATTTTACCCACTGTTTTTATGTGTTTGAGTTGTTTTTTTTTTTTCAGAGACTGAAAACAGTGATGATTTATGCATTAATGCTCATTTATTATCATTTATATACATTGGTCATCCCGCTTCCTTTGAACCATTGGCTCTAATGTGTTTGTTGCATTTCCTGTGCTTGAACTCTTTGGTTTCTTGTTGGTGAATCCACAGCTTTGTGAAGTCCTCCGAGACGATTTCTGTTGCAAATTAGGCCTGTACACAAATCAATGGAATTGAATGGGATAGAATAGACCTTAGATTAGATTATTAGAAGAACCTAAAAATCCGTAAACATAAGAAGACAGAATGAATTTTCCACATTTAATAGAATAGACCTTCTTGTGAGAGTGACCATGTGTAGCCGCAGCGTGACAATGGCATAGGTGGCACGGGGCACCTAGAGGACACAGCCGGCCGTTACCATGGCCCTCTCCCATCCCTCTTCCGGACTTCGCTTGCTCAGGACTGTTCATTACACTCGTCCCCCGCTGCTTGTGGAAGTGCAGCGACGTCACCACGACAAATGAACGTGTCACGCCGTTCCGTAAGTCCACATTTAACTGTTTTATAATAACGATGTTTTCCAACAACGAACTGTGGTCTTTATTCACCGCATCACAGTATTTGAAATGATTATAAAATAATGAATCCATAAAACTATTGTCAAGGATTTAGAGACTGAGTAATACTAACACTATTCACATAAACCTACAGTAGACAACACTAGGCTTAAGCGCCTGCACACTCTTAAACATTCCGTCTTACCCATCACTGTAAACTACAGACTTAAAACATGGATTCAAAAGGCTGCTGACTTCTTGTACATTTGCATTTGTAACAATCATAAATAACATTTAATTTGGATATCAAAGTTTTCTATTATATTAAAACCGAAATCATGTAGAGTGTTAAAATACTGACCCCACCTCCTCAGAAGTAGACGAAAGACTGAGCGAGGCGCATGCGCAGACTGATGGAGGGCTGCTTCTGTTTTTAATTGGAGGGCCTAAGAGATCAAATTTTGCCGTATACTGCACCGACTGAATCGGGTGTTATTCTCCATGCTTGTGGACCAATGTTACAGTCTATTTTATTCATTTTTGTGAAGTTAGAAAAATGAAAATAATGCCCTATCTTGAATTAACCCATCTCCCAAAATCAGGCCGTCCTAAGGGCTGTTCGACCTGTGCCGTCCGAACAGGGCCTGGCAACAACAGCCCCTCGCAATCTTCCTTCCTTTTATTTTATTTTTAAAATACACTAGTTCAAGGCGTCCCCAAAGGGCAGACTGCACTCCAAATTTGGAACCCTAAAACCCTTTCTCTGGGACCTCTTTGATTTCGTTTGATCCAAAGAACATTTTTACAAGTTAAAGTAAATTTTCACAAAAGCCGATTTGTAAACAGGCAGGCGCTTGGCGGGCAGCTATGTAGCAAGGGTCCTCCGAAAAAACTGTCAGATAAAACTTTAGCAGTGTCGCGTGAGATAAAAGAAAAGTAACGGGATGATCGCAGTGTAGGGAGATGGATACGCGCGGAGGAGGAGCAGTGAGACAGGTGTGAAGCCAGAGGAGCAGGACCCCTTTGTGTGAGCAGAGGAGGAGGAGGAGGCAGGAGGAGGAGGCACGCAGCGATAAGGTGTGAGCAGAGGAGCAGACCCCTTTGTGTGAGCAGAGGAGGAGGAGGAGGAGGAGGTGGAGGAGAGTGATGCAGGGGTTGTGAGCAGAGAGCAGACCCTTTTGGTGAGCCAGAGGAGTAGGAGGAGGATCAGCGGGTGTGACGGTGTGTGAGCGCTGCTATTGCCAATGTTTAGTCGAAGATCCACATCAAAAACATATTTTTTAAAGCATAGCAAACACACTGTATGTCTAGCTTTAGCTAGCTGGACGTGTTTTTGTTGTGGTCAGAGTGTGTGGAGGAGGAGGTGAAGAGTATTTTGTTGTTGTCAGTGTGGTAGGAGGGGAGTTTTTCGTAGGTGTTATGTTGTCAGAGTGTTGTGGAGGCATGGCAAAAAACGTTATTTATGAGGAATTTAATATTATTGACTCCGCCTCATAGCCATTTTGGAGCATTTTGCCCAAATCCTAACTAATTAGAGAAAAGATCCTTTTGGTTCAATCTTTTGAGTTGCTCAACCATTTTGCACGGACGAAGAGACTTGTCAGCTAAAAAGACCGCGACCAATATTTGCATCGTAGGACATGTGTGTGCGTGGTGTACGTGCGGCGCGCCAAATAACCGCTGCATAGGAGCGAAGCCACGTCGGTTACGGCGCGTGATGATCTCGTCAAGCCACCGCGCGGAGGGTGGTGCTGATTCATGTCAAGATTATAACAGAAAAACTTTCCTAGATCTGGGAAAAAGTGTCAGGGCAGGGCCTCGCGTTTCGCGTTCGCACAGGGCTCGCACCCCCCTTGGGACGGGCCTGCAAAAATACCCTCCATGTCCATTATGAGGAAGGATCTGGGGCGCACGCGAAGGGAAACGAGAAGGGTCTGTCTGCGGCTTGCAGTACGGAGGCGTGTCGACGTAGTAGGCGTGTCGGGTGTGACGTCCTACCCGACACGCTATACATGAATTTTGAATCACTTGAACTTCTGCAAGATATCCGTTGAAGAGAAGGACCTGGCAGACCGTACGCAAACAGTAAGTGTCAACCAACACGTGTTTTATTTATTTTTTAGGCCGTTCCCTCCAGATTACAGTGTATTAATGAATAATTGCACATCACCCCTGACCTAGAAATGTTTTTAAGAAGTGAACTAATACATTGCAGAGAAAGCATTTTGTATGGGTTTTTCTTAAGAGTCATGTGCCCATCGACATGTCAGGTACATAGTATAATAGGTAATAGGTATAATATTTACTATCTAATATTGCCCAAGTCATTTTGCATCGTTTAAAATGTAATAAGGAGAAAAACATAACTCTTTACATGTTTTCAAGGAACGTGGAGAAATTAGTTAGGCAATTATGTGATGTAGTCACGATGTTTCCTGATTCACAGTTACAGAAGTCACTGACATATAGTCTATGGGATGATGTTCCAAGATATTTGTGTTTCTGAGTGTGCACAAATGAGATGTTTATGTCTGCTTTCAGTTGCATCTCCGACTATTGTCTAAGTGATGGGAATCATGCTCCAGTGGCTGAAGCAGGGGAAAACACGCTCAAGTGGGTAACCTGTTTTAAACATGCGGAGAAGCACAATTGCTCACACACGTGCAAAACCCATGGAAAGGGCGATCTCTTTGTCATGGCGCTATGTTTTAACTTCGAATCCAGGTGGTCTTTGCGCTGTGCATTATTGTACATTTGTTCTTTAATGTGATTGGTCTAGGTTTGTCAGAAGAGCGACAGAGAGGTACTTTGATTTGAAAAAAAAAAAGAACCTCCAGCTCCTCCCCCTTCCTTTCTGATTGGTCTACACGCTCTTACCTGAAGTATAGCTTGAGTTTATAAATGTTTGTGTTTACATTAGTAGGACCGAGCGCCACCAGGTTCTGCAACGGGGACTATTGTAATGAAGTGTGCATTAAAACCACTGAACCCCCCTCAAACATAAAATGTCATGGTACATCTTGTCTTGTCCTAGTTGTACTTTTATTACGCAGCTGTTTATAAGTTTCCCAGTCTCTTGGATCTTTACTGGTACGATATTTAGCCCATGCAGTTCTCTCTGTTTATAAAGGGAGATAAGTTCAGAACTGATCCAGGCACTCCGATTTCCTTTCACTCTAATAGTTTTATATGGAGCATGTTTATTAATCACTTCCATGACCTCTGTGTGGAAGAAGTCCCACGCTTCATTTACTGTTGGTATGAGTGAGAGTCTGTTCCATTCAATGTTATTTATATCATAGTTGAAGTGGTCAACATTTAAATATTTGCACTGTCTGAAAGTAATATATTTAGGCGTGGATTTTAACATTCTAATTTTCCATACACAAAAAATTATTGAGTGGTCACTAAGACAATCAGACATAACTCCAGATGTAACTATCCTTTCTGGGTTAGTCACAAGTATCCAGTCAAGAAGAGTTGCGGTCTGTAGATTTACTCTTGTGGGTTCATTGATTAGTTGTGTTAAATTTAAGCTGCTGATGAGATTCCGTTCACTTATTGAAGAGCGGTCAAGCCAGTTATTATTGAAATCTCCTAAGATAATTAATTCATGATGTTTGTCCAGAGAACTAATAGTGGACAGTATATTTGGCATAGAGCCAGAGGGAGCAGATGGCGGCCTGTATATTGTACCTATAAGTATTGATTTATTTGTGTGTAGGTAAATATTAGTGAAAATGCATTCAAAATGTATAGGTTCAACTTTAGGATTAACAGGCTGGGAGTTCAAGTTTACACTCACGTATGTAGCCACTCCCCCACCTCTGGATTCTCTGTCCATCCTAAACAGTGTATAGCCTTCTATTTCTACTCCATTGCTACTGGTATCACTGTGAAGCCATGTTTCAGAGAGGGTTATTATGTCAGGCTTGTTGTAACTGACCCATGCTCGGAGAAGGACAATTTTAGATTTTAGGCTTCTGATGTTAAGATGAATAATTTTGAGTCCTTTATAGGATTTCATGTCTGTCATCCTGACTATTACCTAAGAACTGGTGGGTAGGATTTGGATTGGGCATTTGGTGTGGATAAGAGCATTGATCTGGGAGTGAGCAAAACATAAAACAAATAAAACAGCAAACACACAACACATAACATAAAGAGCAGAGCATTAGGTATGCACTGTATGACCTTCATTTTTCGTTACTGTGCCAGACTGCTGCCATTGCAGTACATAAATCATAATAAACATTAAGAATCCACCTTAACAATGTGATCAGAGAGATCCACCTTAACGAAATCACATCAGGTTTTGCGACACTCGAGTTGTGGCAAATAACGTTCAGATCAGTCACGCTTGTTTTATTAATGAAAAACTCTTCAAAACAAAGGAAGGCAACGTGAAGAGGAGTCACATTTTCCGAAAGTAAATATCTTCAGCTCGAACAGGATACAGTTACTCACGCAGTCTCATGGCGTTGTTGTCAAATCAAAGAAGTTCTCGGCATCTTTGGCGCAGAGGAAAACTTTGGGTTTGTCATCCACAGTGACTTTCAGGGTGCACGGATACAGTAATGAGTACCTGTAACCCAAGGCGCGGAGTTTCTTTTTGACTGCGTCAAATTGCTTGCGTTTTTTGACTAGGTCGGCGCTAAAGTCTGGGTAGATATGGATCCGTGTCCCCTCGTACTCAAGTCCCTTTTTTTCCCTGGCCAGTCGTAGTATTTTAGTTTTGTCCAGATAGTGTAGAAACTTGGCGATGATGGGCCTCGGCACTCCCGGTTTTTTGCTTGCACTAAAAGAGGGCGTGCGATGTGCTCTTTCTATCACCGGGGGTATGGTGAAGTTGTCACAACCAAGTAGGCCGAAGATCAACTTGGTTAGGAACCCAATCATGTCCTCTCCTTCACTCCGTTCTGGTACGTTGATAAAACGAAGATTATTCATGCGGCTCCTGTTCTCCGCGTCGTCGATCTTCTCTCAAGTGTTTGCACTCTTTTCATCAAGTCGTCAACATTGTCCTCGTTGGTACTCACTCGCTGCTCTAGCTCAGATATCTGGTCACCGAGCGATGCAAGAGATCCTTGTATGTTATTGAGACATGAATGTAGAGGTTCAATTTTGGCATCGATATGAGCAGCCATTTCCTCCTTGCTTTGTTGGATCGCTGCAAGTGATTTCCTGATCACTTCAATACTTGTTGAAATAATTGTATCTGTGAGGTGTTCTCAGGTTTGATGCGTTTTGGATCTTTAAATTAAGGCAGCAGTCTGGGACCTCCTTGAGCACAGCTAGTCCACTGCGGCCATATGTTCTATGGCTGAATGATTGACATGTATAAGTAGCCAATGAAAAGAGCTTTCTATTGATGGGTGGGACTTACAGGAACCCATGTTAATTTTTTACAGTAAAAGCGTGCGTAAAGACGCGGTTTCGATGCTGTGCATATTTTATATCCATTTACACTACAAATTTTTTTTTGAAAAAATGTAAAAAAAAATCACACATCAGTAACTTATAAGTACCAAAACTAAAAAATATGGTTTTTAGGATGATGAAATGTCAGTAAAGTAAATTGTGCCAAATTGGTTCCGAATGGCATAAAAACTATAAAACTTAGAAGTCTGAAACATTAGACAGTTGAAGTATGCCTTTTTTTTAGGGCATTTATACATTGAATTTTTACGGCAAGGCTAAAAAAAACAGGTTTTTTTCCACAAACTTCAAAAGGATGCAGAGTGAAATAGGAATGACATACATTATTTTAGTATATATTTACATAAACTAAAAGGCTCTAGCTTTAAAATGATGCATCACACAAGCATGTGATATGTAATATGTGTTTTTAATACGGCTGTCAAACGATAAAAAATTTTAATCGAGTTAATTACAGCTTAAAAATTAATTAATCTTAATTAATAGCATTTCGAACTATCGGCAAAATGATGCCATATTTTTCTGTAAATGGTTGTTTGAATGGAAAGATAAATGACAACATAGTGAACATATGTACCGTATTTGTTTATTATAACAATAAATCCACATAAAATGGCATTGACATTATTAACATTCTGTCTATCTGTAGTAGACACTATTTTTTTCATCTCAACATATTCCGCATCTGCTAAAGCCTCCTCTTTCTTCTTTTTCTCTGTCTCATGAAGGCTGTGGATCCTCTTCATTATTGTGCCTCTACAAACTATTCTTTGTCACAGGGATGAGGGACATTTGAAAACAGTCTGAAATGCATGTCAGCCAATGGCAGTCATTAACTCTGTTTCACAGCATTTCATTTGTGGCCACAAACAACATGGAATGGTAGTGCAAAGGAAAAGTTAGGTATCCCAGCTTTAATTTAGCGTCTTTTTTCGCTTCGGGAGAAGACACGGGGAGACTGTTTCTTGCAGCGCTGTTTTTATTGTATGCACTGGTCACGCCTGTGCGTGATCACGCCTGTGCGTGATCAGTGCACACAATAATGGCCACGTTACGGCTGCGCGCTCCCGTGTTGTTAAGCCGCTCACAGCTGCTGGACGTGGGAACCGCAGTCATAAGCGGCCGAAGCTGCCCCAGAACGCTGCAGACTCCCATTCACAGCAATTGCCCCGCGGTCACACGCGCAGGGTGCCAGTTACTTGGCACATGCGTTAAAAGCGTTAATCTTTTTAACGCGATTAATGAAAAAAATACATTACAAAGACATTTGGGTATGCCCAACTTTTGTGCATGAGCCAAAATGATGCAGGAGTTTAAGCGGTTAACTACATTTGAAACTTATTACAATATTTGCTTAGCGTTTATCAAAAAGATATACTATGAATATACTATTAGACCATAGGTTCACTAATCAATCAATCTGGTTTTAGAACACCCGAAAGTAAATCATTTTAACATCAAGTCATGAACTTAGGAACATGATTGCTAACTGCATTTTTTTAACACATGATCAGGTTTTAAATCAGTTTTTAACTTAATATTTCTAACATAAGGCGAATATCATTGATTGGTAGTGAATTATGATTTGTTCCTGGAGTTATGTTTTGGATATGTTCTAAACACAGTACAACGTTTATAAACAATCAGAACAAAATCGAGACCGCGTTTCCGCTACTTCAGAGGGCTCTTGAACGCATCATATACAACTCCACGTAAGTTCTCAGTCAACGATCGGGAGTGATGACGGCGCTTACCTTTCATGGGATTGTAGAAGGGTTTGTCTTGCACAGTACTTGTCTTTACATGCACTGATTGTGCGCTGCGATCGCTGCTTGTCCTGCTCGAACTTATGCTGAAGTGTTTGTGTCCATCCTTTTTAACACACCGGGTGGGTGCGGATTGCGCAGGTGAACAGTTCCACCCGCCATTTCCCTCCGGTGAGGAGGGCGAGTGGGACTACAAGGCAGTACTCCACTATGGCTAAGACCAAAGAGCCGTCAAAGAACACTAGCCACAAAATTGTAGACCTGCACCAGGCTGGGAAGCCTGAATCTGCAATAGGTAAGCAGAGTTGATTTCTTGGAGTGAAGAAATCAACTCTGGGAGCAATTATTAGAAAATGGAAGCCATACAAGGACCACTGATAATCTCCCTCCATTTGGGGCTCCACACAAGATCTCACCCCATGGAACGGTGAGCAAAAATCCACAACCCAAACGGGGGGACCTAGTGAATGACCTACAGAGAGCTGCGACCAAAGTAACAAAGGCTACCATCAGTAACACACTACCCCGCCAGGGATTAAAATCCTACAGTGCCAGACGTGTCCCCCTGCCAGCCAGTACATGTCCAAGCCCATCTGAAGTTTGCTCGAGAGAATTTGGATGATCCAGAAGAGGGTTGGGAAAATGTCATATGGTCAGAATAAACCAAAATAGACTTTTTGGTAAACACTTGTCGTGTTTGGAGGAGAAAGTATGTAGAGTTGCATCCAAAAAACACCATACCTACTGTAAGTAAGTATGGTGTACCTACTTACCCCCTGTACCTCTACCTACTGTACCTACCATACCCCCTAAGTATGGGGGTGGAAACATAATTTCTTGAGGCTGTTTTTTGCAAAGGGACCAGGACAACTTATCCATGTAAAGGAAAGAATGAATAGGGCCATGCATCGTGAGATTTTGAATGAAAACCTCCCATCAGCAAGGGCATTGAAGATGAAACGTGTTTGGGTCTTTCAGCATGAAAATCATCCCAAACACAACGCCCGGGCAACAAAGGAGTGACTTTGTAAAAAGCATTTCAAGATCCCAGAGTGGCCCAGTAAGTCTCCAGATCTCAAAACCATAGAAAATCTTTGGAGGGAGTTGAAAGTCTGTTGCCAGCAACAGCCCCAAAACATCACTGCTCTAGTGATATCTGCATGGAGGAACGGGCCAAAATGCCAGCAACAGTGTGAAAACAATGTGAAGACTTACAGAAAACGTTTGTGCTCCGTCAGTGCCAACAAAGGGTATATAAATACTTATTTTCCACCATAATTTGCAAATAAATTCTTTAAAAATCAAAAATTTGATTTACTAGATTTTTTTCTCATTCAGTTTCTCATAGTTGAGGTTTACCATTGCTGGAAATTACAGGGCCCCCTCCCTTTTTAAGTGGGAAAACTTGCACAATTGGTGGCTTTGCTGACTAACTACTTTTGTGCCCTTCTGTACTTTAAATGTTCTACATTAATGCAGACATTTCCATTGCATTATTTTACTATGTGTGGAAACACACCTCAATGCTGCCACTGCATGGCCAAGCTCGTGAATGACACCGCTGAGCAGCAGAGCGACGAAGAAGTAGCCAAGCTGATTGGTGGGAAGGTTCACTCCCGGGACCTGTTCAAAACACAACTGAACTCAGGAAACAACACACTTTCTAACATCCAATATGATGCAAAAAGGTTGAAACTCAAATGTTTGTGCCCTGTGTGCATATTTTGCTCCATTTTGTACCCTTGTAACCCTTTATGACTGTCACTTTATGCTCCTGTCACTTTACTGCACTGCTAAATGTCTATTGTGTGTACTTATATGCATGGCATGACTTATTTTATTTGTACTTTACCGAGAGCCAAAGCAATCGCCTAGTTTGTGACATCCTGTTACTGATAATGGCAATTAAATTAATTCTGATTCTTTTTACTTTTTTGAATGCGCTGGAAATGGCAGTCCTATGCATTAGGATTATTTAAAAGTGCATTTGAAAGATATACAAACACATTATTACATAACAAACAGTAGCGATTATTTTCACTGATTTCTCTGTTTTCTTATGTCCTTTTGAGTCTAGTCACCCAAAAAGTTTGTTGCTGAACACCTGAATTTCTCCTACTGTTGTAAACAAAGACTCACCACCACTTGCAGAGTCTGCTGTCCCCCAATGCGAGGATTGTCTGTGGTCATCTGGGCCAAAGTTTGCTGCAAAGTCTTGACCAGAAGGACCACTGACCCCACCATAGAAACCACACCGAAAACCAGGCCACTGTTGAACCTAAGAAACATTACACACAGAAAGGAGCAAGACAATTGTTTTCTGTTCTGCTTTCTCATTCTACATTCTATAAAACACATATATTTGGACCGTATGATGCTACTGGAGCACTAACAATAAGACAAGAAATCCCATACAGGCCTTATTTTACATATGGAGTGGCAATAAGCAGCAATATTGCAAAGTGAAAAATGGGACAAATTTCACTCACTACATAGAAAAAGTGTGAACAATAAAAATCACACTATCAGGCTCCAGAGAGGCATTTATTTTTAACTTGCGAGGCATTAAAAATAAACAGGACCCTTTTTTGGAGTTCAGAGTTGCTGAGGCTTAGTGACCGGTGTCCTAACATAGCATTTCTGAATTAGCTTTTTATGGCTAAGCATCCTCACTGCAACACGTCTGTCTTCCGATCAACTTAAATAAATGAAAATACTACTACTTCAGTGAACAGTAGATAAGTGATCTTAAATAAATTGAAATAAATACAACATTGAAATACTTACTACAATAAGTTCTCACTTAAAGTTCCATTGGGGATAAAACTAAGACTGGACGTGGCAGATGAAACAGTCAAAAAATCAAGAGAAATATAACTTTTTTTATGTAAAAATATTAATACATTGATATGTATAGTACATATTTTTCTTAATTTATTTAGAAAATAAATGTTATTTTTAATTTAATACAAATTTATATTAAATAAATTGAATATACCAACACTGATGGCGTTTAAAGCATAGTGTTGTATTATTGTAAGAAATATATCAGAGCCAAAATCCTTTTTCTGTAAAGGATATTGCATAGTTCAGTCCCCTGTATTGAGATGTACGTCATATTGAGAGGAAAGAAATGCAGCCCTATATGTAGAGGAAATAATACAATCTAAATCATGGCAGTGACAGGCAAGTACAGCCACTAGACTCTGATGGTGATGAATGGTGCAGCTGGAGTGGAATAGCTTTCTGACCAGACGTTGAGAACTCTGGGGCGGATACGAGCGCAGTACGCGAACAGCCGGTTGAACATGGTGGTTTGCCATCGAACGTGAAACGGAGACAGCATCAGGCCACGGCTTGCCAGCCACAGCTCGTAACTGATACGGTGGGTCACAGACGACTGCAGGAAGACAGGACAGAGTGTAAAGATTGGGTCCTGCTCTGTCAGACCACAATAGTTAAATTATTGTATAAAATATAATTTATATATATATATATATATATATATAAAACAATCCATACTAGTTCTCTGGGCTCAAACAGTTTTGTCCAATATTTTTCACATGCATGTTTGGTTGGTCATTAGATCAGCTTTTTAAGACAGAAAAGTGAAAAAGGAGGACCACCCTCACTCGGCCAATCAGCCCTCAGCTTGGTATCCTTTACAAGTGCTTGTAAAGGATACCATGACTTTCTGTAGGGACAAACAAAATACAGTATTCATGATAAGCTTTTGAAAGTTCCAAGAAAGTGAGCCACAAAGGCCACAAAGCCCTTCTCAGATTTTCTTACCATGACGAGATTAGACTTCAGAAAAGGGCAGATTGATAAATGCAATGCTATATTTTACTGAACATGTTGTAACTTGTAATCTTAGTCACTGGTCTCATTGGTATCAGCAGATAATGACAGAAAAACCATAAACAGCTGGATTGTTTTAAAACAGTAGAAACTGTGCTGTTGTATATCATCAAGCAGACGACTATGTTAAGCTGCTCTGAGTGTTAGAGGACACCAACAATTTTGTGTGGAAAGTATTGTATTTACAAGTGGATTAATAACAACCCAGGATTCCTGGAAAAGCCACTATTGCACTAAGAGGATGAGCACTCCATCCTTGCAGACACCCCACAGCTTAAGTCATGGGTGCTACACAGACAATGATTGGTTCAAAGATCGCAAATTGCAAATGTGGCATTTTGACTCCAGAAGAAATTAAATCTCAGGCTCTTCAGGAAGATTTCATGGAAGACATTCCCACATCAGTTCCATAGTTCCATTAAATGTGATCTATCTTAGGGGAAGGCTTTATGACCTATCATTCCATATGTAATGGAATTGATACAATAGGTTAATGTTTAGAGGTAAAGAACTATAAATAATCCATCATGCTTTACGTTTGACTGACACAGTGGCAAAAACCATTGACATGTGTGGTTAATGCAGCTCACTGATGTATAGGCACAGCCTCTGCAGATAATATAGAAAAGTTATTCCACTGGTTTGATAAAACAAAATACAACTACAAAAAAATGATATAGCCATCTGTAAATCTAATCAGTAAAAAAAAAACATAACACTGCCCATCTCTGGTCCAGCGTGACATCAGGTAAAAGCTCTTTTCAACACAACTTTAAACACATCATTGTGAATGATTAGCACGTATTCTCACCCTCAGCATGGTGTCAGCGAGGTAGACCGCACACCAGCCTGCCATCACCGCGATGAGCAGAGACACGGGGATCATGGTGCATCCACAGCCCTTGATCAGCACCTTCTGAACAGCCACGGAAAAGCCAGCATCCCGGGGTCCATGGCGCCTCTGCCCACCTCTTCACAGACTCCCGCCGATGGTAATGCACTGTGTTTGGACGCGTGTGAATGTCAGAAGAGACCAAATGATACGTGCGTGTGTGGAGTGGTGTCAAATCAATGGACAAATCATCACGAAGCACACTTCCGCGTTGTGTTTTATTTGCTGCGATGAGAAAAGCAACACTGAGCTCTGTCGCCATCTGCTGCACGGGAACAATATATCTTCTTCTTCTTCGTAATTTATTTCCGGCAGGCTGTACACTATAGAAGTCTAATGCTGCCCTCTTTCGTTCAGGTTGATACTACATTATTACACTCGTTGGTACAAACTGGTGGAGAGAAGGAAGGCAACTGCTTTGTCGATCAAACGCGAATTCTTTACCGAGGAAAATATAGATTTTATTGAAAATACTGCTAATCCAAGATCTGACAGCTGCTTGTACATAATCTGCCTTTCTGTTGAGTAGTGATGGGTAAATGAAACCTCACGTATCGTTTCGGCACATCAAACGAACTGTATTGATACTGTGCCGCAACAGTGTTGCTTGTGCTGCTCTATACTGACGCCTGGTGGATCTGATAAATCATTACATCCAACTCACTGATTCAATGAGCTTTACATACTTGTCTGTACACAATATTACGTAACTGCATTGTCTGTGTTATTATTTTATTTTTATGTGAAAATTAAAGTGATAGTTGTGAATGTATTCATTAAGAAAAATGTCATTGAGTGATTTTATATACATACAGTGCCTTGCAAAAGTATTCGCCCCCCTTGAACCTTTCAACATGTTGCCACATTTCAGTCTTCAAACATAAAGATATAAAATTTTAATTTTGTCATGAATCAACAACAAGTGGGACACAATCGTGAAGTGGAACAACATTTATTGGATTATTTAAACTTAAAAAAAAATAAAAAACTGAAAAGTGGGGCGTGCAATATTATTTGGCCCCTTTACTTTCAGTGCAGCAAACTCACTCCAGAAGTTCAGTGAGGATCTTTGAATGATCCAATGTTGTCCTAAATGACTGATGATGATAAATAGAATGCACCTGTGTGTAATCAAGTCTCCGTATAAATGCACCTGCTCTTTGATAGTCTCAGGGTTCTGTTTAAAGCGCAGAGAGAACCATGAAGACAAAGGAACACACCAGGCAGGTCCGAGATACTGTTGTGGAGAAGTTTAAAGCCGGATTTGGATACAAAAAGATTTCCCAAGCTTTAAACATCTCAAGGAGCACTGTGCAAGAAATTATATTGAAATGAAAGGAGTATCAGACCACTGCAAATCTACCAAGACCCGGCCGTCCCTCCAAACTTTCATCTCAAACAAGGAGAAGACTGATCAGAGATGCAGACAAGAGGCCCATGATCGCTAACCACTCCAGCTTCGGGGTCACTGCCCCGAGTGCACCGATCACCACGGGCACTACTGTCACCTTCAGGCCCGTCCCAAGGAGGGTGCGAGGCCCTGTGCGAACTCGAAACGCGAGGCCCTGCCCTGACACTTTTTTCCCAGATCTGAGGAAAGTTTTTCCTGTTATAATCTTTGACATGAATTCAGCACCACCTCGCGCGGTGCTTGACGAGATCAGCACGCGTGTAACCGAGTGTCTTCGCTCCTATGCAGCGTTTGGCGCGCGCACGTACACACGCACACACACTCTACGTGCAATATTGGTCGCGGTCTTTTTAGCTGACATGTCTCTTTCGTCCTGTGGCAAAATGGTAGAGCAACTCAAAAGATTGAACCAAAAGGAGTCTTTTTCTTCTAATAGTTAGATTTTGGCAAAATGCGCCAAAATGGCTATGAGGCGGAGTCAATATTATTTTTTTCTCATCAAATAACGTTTTTGCCATGCCTCCACACACTCTGACAACATACACTCCTCCTCCTCCACGCTGACAACAACAAAATACTCTTCACCTCCTCCTCCACACACTCTGACCACAACAAAAACACTCCAGCTAGCTAAAGCTAGACATACAGTGTGTTTGCTAATGCTTTTAAAAATATGTTTTTGATGTGGATATTCGGACTAAACATTGGCAATAGCAGCGCTCACACACCTGTCACACCGCTGATCCTCCTCCTCCTCCTCTGCTCACACAAAGGGGTCTGCTCCTCTGCTCACACCTGTCTCACTGCTCCTCCTCCGCGAGTATCCATCTCTCCTACACTGCGATCATTCCCGTTACTTTCTTTGTATCTCACTCAGACACTGCTAAAGTTATCTGACAGTTTTTTCGGAGGACCCGTTGCATACATAGCTGCCCGCGCGCCTGCCTGTTTACAAATCGCTTTTGGTGAAAATTTGACTTTACTTGTAAAAATGTTCTTTTGATCAAACGAAATCAAAGAGGTCCAGAGAAAGGGGTTTAGGGTTCCAAATTTGGAGTGCAGTCTGCCCTTTGGGGACCCTTGAACTAGTGTATTTATAAAATAAAATAAAAGGAAGGAAGATTGCGAGGCCCCTGTGTGGTGCGAGGCCCTGTGCGATGGCACAGGTCGCACAGCCCTTAGGACGGGCCTGGTCACCTTTACCCTCCAGGCCCTCTCCAGCTCCTCTCTGAGACCTTGGTATTTCTCAAGCTTTTCATGTTCTTTTTTTCGGATGTTACCATCGCTTGGAATTGCCACGTCCACCACCACGGCTGTCCTCTGCCCTTTGTCTACCACCACAATATCAGGTTGGTTCGCCATTACCATTCGGTCGGTCTGTATCTGGAAGTCCCACAGGATCTTTGCACGCTCATTCTCCACCACCTTTGGAGGAGTTTCCCACATAGACCTTGGGGCTTCCAGCTCATACTCTGCACAGATGTTTCTGTACACTATGCCAGCCACTTGGTTATGGCGTTCCATGCAGGCCTTCCCTGCCAGCATCTTGCACCAACATCCAGTGTGGGTCCTTGGGCAAGACCCTTAACCCTTTAGGCGCCAGAGTTTTTTCAAGAAAATATACAATTTTGATTTCAAGATTTCAAAAGTCTATAACTTTAAAATGGTTTGAGATAAAGGCATACTGTAAATTAGAAATATCTTCAGTTTGAACCAAACTTTGGGATGGAAGTTGATTCGTCATCTAATTTGCATATTGTGACGTCATCAAGGTGGCAGCCATTTTGGAAAATGTTAATTATTGTATAAAGACTTCAAAAAGCTGTAGCTTGGGAGTTATTTGAGATCAGGGAATACTATAAACAGTCAATGTGAAATATCTTTAGTATGAAATGAATTTGAGATAGAAATAAATTCCCTGATCCAGATTATAGATAATGTTTTAGCACCAGTTCGCGGCCATATGGAATTGTATTATTTTCAAAGACCTTCAGTGATCAAGACATCACTCTTTATAGTTTACAGTCATGAAATCTGGAGATTGGTTTCAATATTTCCCTTTCAAAGAAGTGGTGGACTTACTATTTTTCTCAGTGGAAATGAGGCTCCAGGATTTATCGTTTAGAAACAGAGAGATGAAATGAATGGGCACAGAACATGTCAGATCGTCTCAACAATAAACAACAGGCTCTTCAACACTTCTGATCCACTTTTGTGGATTATTTTCACCCAAGAACTGCCTTCATCCTCATCATCGCTGTTGGTAAAGGCAGTGAACGCGATTAGCGATGTGTTTTTTTCCCGCGGCTCCTCCCGCGACTTCTCCCGCGTCTCCCGTGTTCCCCGTGGATGTCTACCCCCGCTACTTTCTCCCACATGCCCGGTGTTATGATGCCCCTGTCCCCTCCACCACGGCCCCTGCTTGGTGTTCACAGAATGCTTCTAGCGCGGCCACACGGAGGACAAGCAGCCGCTGTACAGGGGCTGATTGTGGACTATGGAGCGCGGTCTCCTCGTCACCAATAATGTCTGTGTCTGCTTCACTGGACACCTGCGTGTCTTCCTCCTCTGAATCTGAGTGAGCCAGTACCAGACCAAGTACTTCTCTGGTACTGAAGGCCATCGTGAGTAAAATAAAAAACCCTCTCTCCCTCTGCTCTGCTCTCGCTCCTCTCAGCTCTACCGCTGCTGCTTCGCCCCCGCGCCGCTGCGCCGCAGGTGTTTTACGAACTCAATTTACTCAAAAACTTTCAATAAAACCACACCCACAAATGTTGCTCATATTACAGGCACACATGTCCACTAACCCCTGGTGAAAAGTATTAACAAGATTCTGCACCACATTTTTACATACAGCCTGTTTAAGTGAGCAATGTTGCTTGTCGCAATATTGCGACTTTGGCGCTTAAAGGGTTAATGCTACTGCCTAACTCATAACCATGAAGGCACAAATAAGCAATGAGATGCCAGATCAGACGTCGCCCGGCCAAACAAGGTCTGCGTCAGGTGCTGGGGAACCAGAGCACCTTGATGAAAAGTGGGCTACTGGAACAAGGCGAAAGTGGACAGGATGCGATAACAGGGCTCTGTTGGAATGCTACTACTCGAGTAACCCTGGCCAAAGAGGTTACATGCAGAGAATGTGGGCTGAATGGTTACTTCGAAACCCACAGTCACAGTTGACCCCGAAACAACTGGTAGCTCAATGCTCCAACATCCACAAACAGCAACTGCTATCACAGCTTGAGATTGATGAGGTACAACACATGTATGATGCCACAGTTGTCACAGTTGCCGAGGTCAGAGGGGAGATCCCACCAACTGCAACTCCCCAACCAGATATTGGGTACATAGCCCCAATGGAACCGATAACGCTGAACAGGTCAGCGACTGACCTGAAAGCTAAGATCAGAACTAAGATCCCTGAGAGAGGAGCACAGCCACCTCCCAGAACAGAACTCAGTTACCATCACAGAGGCAGACATCCGAGAAAGCGTCTCAGGTATGAAAAACTGGACAGCACCTGGCCCTGATATGGTCCATGCCTACTGGCTAAGGACACTCACATCACTCCATGAGCGCC